TAATCGAGTCTGGACCAGACAATCCAGTGATTGACATCATGAGCATCGATCCACTTAATTGAGATACGATGACATGCATCAACCAAGTCAGCGAGCCTGACCACCCGATCGCCTTTTACGGCAAGCATGGGTTGCTGAAGACCTGTTCTACCCCGGATCTTCACGGGTAGAGGTGAATATAAACCTAATGTTTCAGATCACAAATATTATGGCAAACTTCCCACAATCAGCAGTGATAAGGGCATGGTTTTAAATTATTATTATTCTGATGACAGATTTTAGGATTTTCAGGCCAGGTAGTCAGTCTAGTGGTTAAAGTGTTCACCATTAACCCAGGTTTGATTCCCCGCATGGATGCAATGTGTGAAGGCCATTCCTGGTGTCCCCCACCAACATATAGTTAGATTATTGCTGAATGCAGCATAAAACTTCACCCACTCACTCACACTCCAACCCATTCTCCTGTGGTACATGACCAGTCCCTGATGTGATGTGTAGTATCAGTGAATACATGGAGCAGTAGTCGTCTAAGGTGCCGCGATTCGTTGTGCAGAGTTGTATCCCTGGGGCACGCCAAAAACCTATGATTGTGGGTTCGAATCGTGGTTCACCACAATTATGTTTAAAGGTTTGTCAGCACCATACCCATGCTCGTGGGTTTCACCGAAGTGGTAAACGTCTGAGACCTGTATCACTTCGAGCTTTCCTCCCACTTTAAGCTGACATGCTGTGATATAACTGGAATACTATTAAAAGTAGCATTAAACCCAACTCACTCACTTACTCACTCATGGAGCAGTAACCTCCCCAGGGTCCTGACAGACTGCACGACAAGTCCACACAGGCTGGAACTGTAATGGTGTAGTATTCTGATCAAGTGTTTGCATAACATGTATGAGGCAAGCCAACCGTTATGAATGGTACAATCAATACTAATCAATACACAAACATCACTCTTACATTTACCCAGGTAGTGACAGATTTAGAGTAGTCTTCGTTATACTGTTATTAGCATTATTATAATTTCTTGAGAGCTGTTTAACAAGTTTTCATATAGATGGTCTTAACATCAATGTAGTTAAACATATCCATGTTGATTCTCACATTGGTTGGAATGTCTGTAGGGCTCAAGTATATGCAACGCGTTTGTTCAGCTATTATCTGATTGACAGTTATTAATTGTCAAGTTATTTTAACTTTTGTTTTCTTATGTTTGTTTACTAAATTCATAAAAAAAATATCAAGTATATTTTAATTTCGTGATACTGCTTTCATCTCCAGTCTATATTAGCAATATATTTTTTATAATACATTGAAATGAGAGTACAGTGGCTCTGCTGTAATGAATGTTTTATAGACTGAAGATGCATACGATGTAGATTGTAAGAAGGGCCTATTCAGTACTTGAGTACTTTAATCCTATACCATTCACAAGGCTTATACAACTAATCCCAAGTTTTATTTCTGATATCAATGAAGAAGTATCATTGATAAGTACAAGCAAGGCTTGTATTTTCAAGCTCAATTTAACCAGTATGTGGACATGAAGCTGTACACACCTAGGTTTCCCTGTCAGTCCGCTGTCACAGTCCAGGCCTTGCCATCAATCAGGGCCACAATGAGTTGGATACCGACAGCTGAATGTTTGCTAAAGCAGTCTTTATAAGCAATATCGTGTCTTTATCCACTGTGTTGGTAATATATATTGTAGCACTGTAAAGTTAGGTATGTGGCCCATGGCCTAAAATGTCAGCTGATTGAATCCATTCACACTTGTATTGGTATATATTTGTTATGTGGGAATGATTTATAACATAGATGGAGGAGGAATGAACGGTGTGTTGTTTGAGGACACTTGAAATGGCAATGGAGAGAGAGTGAGTGCTGAATACTTGGTGTTTGGTTCTCTTGTGGTGTAAATCACGTACTGCCTCTCGTGTACTGCATCAGCTCCCTGCAGGTGGGGCATGGGTGGCCCAGTCGTCTAAGGTGCTGTAATTCGCTGTGCAAATTTGCATTCCTTTGGCATTTTAGAAAACTATGATTGTGGGTTCGAATCCCCGTTCGTCCCGATTATGTTTCTAGGTTTGTTAGCACCATACCCGTGCTCGTGGGTTTCACCGAAGTGGTAAACTCCTGAGACCTGCATCACTTTGGCCTGTCCTCCGACATCATGCAGACACACCGTGAAAGAACTGCAATACTGTTCAAGGCAGTGTTAAACCCAACTCACTCACTCATTCCTTGCAGGGACTCACCTTGTCCCACCGCTGGTCCAGCAGCTGTTAGCGTCTCCTCATTGGAAACTCATGGACCAAATGATGGTACCAAATTTGTATAAGTGCATCTCATTCATTTTTCTTTCTTTGGACATTGATGCCCCAAAATACTGTGAATGTAAGAACATATTCTAAACACATAAAGCTAAGGAAAAGCTGTTTCACTAGGCCTGAGAAATGTCTCTTTAAGGCCATGGAATAGCAATTGCTAGACTAACATCAAGTCGCTGAAATGAACATATCATACAGAAAAACAAAGTTGTTCAGTTATCTAAATAAAAATATAATAAAAGGGAGACCAGTGACTCTCTTCATATTCAGATACTGATACTGCAGAAATCTAGACTTGCCAAACATTGTAGACTTGCATGGGCTGTATTTGATATATATTTGTATCAGGGTCTGTAAGACAGACTAAGCAATTGCCTCTACCTGATCCATTAATGCCTTATAAAGGCCAGAGAAATCATCTCCTAGTCCAGAGAAGTTCCTTCAGTAGCACATTTACTATCTCAGAAATATACGATGAAAATAATGTATATAGAAAATTAACCTCAATTGACGTAGTTGTGTTTATTTCAAAGTTATGAAAAATATTGATAGATTTACAAGTCATTTCTGACCCCTCCTGACAGACATGTGATCATGTGGTGACCTTTTGAACCTACATGAGAGTATAGAGGACCTTGGACGGAGTGTTATATAATAATGTTTGGCGTGGCCGGGAGAGTGTGTCATGGTGGGGGACCTGTGCACACAGGACCAGGGTGGGAGTCTTTGTTCCTTGCATAAACATACTTAGGAGAGGGGGATATGGCCGAAGTAACCCCTAGTGCTCAGTGTGTGTGTATAGGTTAGTGCCCTCCTCAAGACTGATATAGACTGTCAGTGCTTATAGTGTTACATTGAAGTCAATATCACAAGGAGACAGGGGACGCCAACCAACAGGAACATGATATGATATGTATATCACAAGGAGACAGGGGACGCCAACCAACAGGAACATGATTTGATATGTATATCACTAGGAGACAGGGGACGCCAACAACAGGAACATATTATGATATGTATATCACAAGAAGACAGGGGACACCAACAACAGGAACATGATATGATATGTATATCACAAGGAGACAGGGGACGCCAACCAACAGGAACATGATATGATATGTATATCACAAGGAGACAGGGGACGCCAACAACAGGAACATGATATGATATGTATATCACAAGGAGACAGGGGACGCCAACAACAGGAACATGATATGATATGTATATCACAAGGAGACAGGGGACGCCAACAACAGGAACATGATATGACATGTATATCACAAGGAGACAGGGGACGCCAACAACAGGAACATGATATGATATGTATATCACAAGGAGACAGGGGTCGCCAACAACAGGAACATGATATGATATGTATATCACAAGGAGACAGGGGACGCCAACAACAGGAACATGATATGATATGTATATCACAAGGAGACAGGGGTCGCCAACAACAGGAACATGATATGATATGTATATCACAAGGAGACAGGGGTCGCCAACAACAGGAACATGATATGATATGTGATATATTGCTTTCCTCTCATCCAAATCAACGTTGAAATGCATGGTCATAACACAGAATAACAAGCTGCCAAAACAATGGACACAACACACCCTAGTGTAGTCTGTCACAGACACATCTTCCCGAGGCAAGAGAGTTAACTGACTTTACAAGTCCAGTTTCCACCCTTGCCGAACTAGGCTGGAATTCCTGGGCTCGATCGTAGCGCCACCAGTGGCTATTATGAGTTATGTCCATTCTATATTCTATTCTATATGCCTCTCCTATATGGACCAATCAGATTCCACCTCCCGTATCACATGCATTTGCTTCAAACAAAATGGTGACACCCAGTCAAGACGATCTGATCGACCATCAAGATCTATTTTGTGATAAAACGGTTCTTACTTCGCGAAGTACATCAAATCACATGAGCACCTTGATTAAAAACATGAAAAGATTTGGAAAATATCTGTTGACAACGAGTTGGCGATGCACATGCTTTGCAAATACTGCAATCGACCAAACTCTGCATGACAGTTTATGAACCGGATTTCGATTTCGGTCCGCGATTTTGATTGGACTATGCATAGACTTGTTCGCCCAGCCAAAATGTAACTCCATAATCCCAGCCTAGTTCGGCAAGGGTGGAAACTGGACTTTTATTGTCAGTTAACTCTCTTGCCTCGGGAAGATGTCACAGACCCTGAAACAAATATATCTAATTAGCCCATACAAGTCTAAGTCTTTTTGGCAAGTCTAGACTACTGCAGTATCAGGATTGAAGACAGTCTCTTGGTTCCTTTTTATTATATTTGATAACTATAATTAAAAAAACATATAGATGCATGTGTATTCCGTCTATGTTAGTTAGTTATTAGAATTTAACTTACCGGTAGTCAATCTTTGAATGAAAATGCAGAAGACACATTGTTGTCCAGTAAACTGTATTGTCATAACAATGAAAGATTTCCACATAACTTAGCCCATTATTAATGTTGTTTGTGGGAGCAGCAAGAGTGGGCTGTCCACATTGTGAAGAGGATCTAACCAGGGTCTGTGGCCCCTACAATGTTTGCCATCTGTTTTCTCCTTCACCTGAATCATCTGTGGTCCATGTTGCAGATCAGTGTAGTGTTCCATATTCTATTTGTTTGTTTCAGGAGGACTTTCTGGCAACAGATGACCTGTTTGTGGAGTACTTCAATGCCTACCTATCCCTGCCGGTGAGTAGCCTCCTGGCCCATACACTCTCACTGTCAGTGGGTAGCCTCCTGTCCCATACAGTCTCACTGTCAGTGAGTAGCCTCCTGTCCCATACACTCTCACTGTCAGTGAGTAGCCTCCTGTCCCATACACTCTCACTGTCAGTGAGTAGCCTCCTGTCCCATACACTCTCACTGTCAGTGAGTAGCCTCCTGTCCCATACACTCTCACTGTCAGTGAATAGCCTCCTGTCCCATACACTCTCACTGTCAGTGAGTAGCCTCCTGTCCCATACACTCTCACTGTCAGTGAGAAGCCTCCTGTCCCATACACACTCACTGTCAGTGAGTAGCCTCCTGTCCCATACACTCTCACTGTCAGTGAGTAGCCTCATGTCCCATACACACTCACTGTCAGTGAGAAGCCTCCTGTCCCATACACTCTCACTGTCAGTGAGAAGCCTCCTGTCCCATACACTCTCACTGTCAGTGAGTAGCCTCCTGTCCCATACACTCTCACTGTCAGTGAGTAGCCTCCTGTCCCATACACTCTCACTGTCAGTGAGAAGCCTCCTGTCCCATACACTCTCACTGTCAGTGAGTAGCCTCCTGTCCCATACACTCTCACTGTCAGTGAGTAGCCTCCTGTCCCATACACTCTCACTGTCAGTGAGTAGCCTCCTGTCCAAAACACTCTCACTGTCAGTGAGTAGCCTCCTGTCCCATACACTCTCACTGTCAGTGAGTAGCCTCCTGTCCCATACACTCTCACTGTCAGTGAGAAGCCTCCTGTCCCATACACACTCACTGTCAGTGAGTAGCCTCCTGTCCCATACACTCTCACTGTCAGTGAGAAGCCTCCTGTCCCATACACTCTCACTGTGTGTAGCCAGTCACCCCTACCACATACACTCTCACTGTGTATAGCCAGTCACCCCTACCACATACACTCTCACTGTGAGTAGCCAGTCACCCCTACCACATACACTCTCACTGTGTGTAGCCAGTTACCCCTACCACATACACTCTCACTGTGTGTAGCCAGTTACCCCTACCACATACACTCTCACTGTGTGTAGCCAGTTACCCCTACCACATACACTCTCACTGTGTGTAGCCAGTCACCCCTACCACATACACACTCACTGTGAGAAGCCAGTTACCCCTACCACATACACTCTCACTGTGTGTAGCCAGTCACCCCTACCACATACACTCTCACTGTGTGTAGCCAGTCACCCCTACCACATACACTCTCGCTGTAAGTAGCCAGTCACCCCTACCACATACACTCTCACTGTGAGTAGCCAGTCACCCCTACCACATACACTCTCACTGTGTGTAGCCAGTCACCCCTACCACATACACTCTCACTGTGTGTAGCCAGTCACCCCTACCACATACACTCTCACTGTGAGAAGCCAGTCACCCCTACCACATACACTCTCACTGTGTGTAGCCAGTCACCCCTGCCCCATACACTCTCACTGTGTGTAGCCAGTCACTCCTACCACATACACTCTCACTGTGAGTAGCCAGTCACCCCTACCACATACACTCTCACTGTGTGTAGCCAGTTACCCCTACCACATACACTCTCACTGTGAGAAGCCAGTCACCCCTACCACATACACTCTCACTGTGTGTAGCCAGTCACTCCTACCACATACACTCTCACTGTGAGTAGCCAGTCACCCCTACCACATACACTCTCACTGTGAGAAGCCAGTCACCCCTACCACATACACTCTCACTGTGTGTAGCCAGTCACCCCTACCACATACACACTCACTGTGTGTAGCCAGTCACCCCTACCACATACACTCTCACTGTGAGAAGCCAGTCACCCCTACCACATACACTCTCACTGTGTGTAGCCAGTCACCCCTACCACATACACTCTCACTGTGTGTAGCCAGTCACCCCTACCACATACACTCTCACTGTGAGAAGCCAGTCACCCCTACCACATACACTCTCACTGTGAGTAGCCAGTCACCCCTACCACATACACTCTCACTGTGTGTAGCCAGTTACCCCTACCACATACACTCTCACTGTGTGTAGCCAGTCACCCCTACCACATACACTCTCACTGTGTGTAGCCAGTTACCCCTACCACATACACTCTCACTGTGTGTAGCCAGTCACCCCTACCACATACACTCTTACTGTGTGTAGCCAGTCACCCCTACCACATACACTCTCACTGTGTGTAGCCAGTCACCCCTACCACATACACTCTCACTGTGTGTAGCCAGTCACCCCTACCACATACACTCTCACTGTGTGTAGCCAGTCACCCCTACCACATACACTCTCACTGTGAGAAGCCAGTCACCCCTACCACATACACACTCACTGTGTGTAGCCAGTCACCCCTGCCCCATACACTCTCACTGTGTGTAGCCAGTCACTCCTACCACATACACTCTCACTGTGAGTAGCCAGTCACCCCTACCACATACACTCTCACTGTGAGAAGCCAGTCACCCCTACCACATACACTTTCACTGTGAGAAGCCAGTCACCCCTACCACATACACTCTCACTGTGTGTAGCCAGTCACCCCTACCACATACACTCTCACTGTGTGTAGCCAGTTACCCCTACCACATACACTCTCACTGTGAGAAGCCAGTCACCCCTACCACATACACTCTCACTGTGTGTAGCCAGTTACCCCTACCACATACACTCTCACTGTGTGTAGCCAGTCACCCCTACCACATACACTCTCACTGTGTGTAGCCAGTTACCCCTACCACATACACTCTCACTGTGAGAAGCCAGTCACCCCTACCACATACACTCTCACTGTGTGTAGCCAGTCACCCCTACCACATACACTCTCACTGTGTGTAGCCAGTCACCCCTACCACATACACTCTCACTGTGTGTAGCCACTCACCCTACAACATACACTCTCACTGTGAGTAGCCAGTCACCCCTACCACATACACTCTCACTGTGAGCAGCCAGTCACCCCTACCACATACACTCTCACTGTGAGTAGCCAGTCACCCCTGCCCCATACACTCTCACTGTGTGTAGCCAGTCACCCCTACCACATACACTCTCACTGTGAGTAGCCAGTCACCCCTGCCCCATACACTCTCACTGTGAGTAGCCAGTCAACTGTGGACATTGTGCACATGCACAACTGTCTTGAATGAAATACACCTGCTGACATCGTACACCTGTCTAGCATGATATACACCTGCTGATGTCGTACTCCCATCTAGTATGATATACACCTGCTGATGTCGTACTCCCATCCAGTATGATATACACCTGCTGACATTGTACACCCATCCAGGATGATCTACACCTGCTGACGTCTTACTCCCATCCAGTATGATATACATCTGCTGACATCATACACCCATCCAATATGATATACACCTGCTGACGTTGTACTTCCATCCACTATGATATACACCTGCTGACATTGTACACCTGTTTTGCATGATATACACCTGCTGGCGTTGTACTCCCATCCAGTATGATATACACCTGCTGACGTCATACAACCATCCAGTATGATATACATCTGCTGACGTCATACACCCATCCAGTATGATATACACCTGCTGACGTCATAAACCATCCAGTATGATATACACCTGCTGTCATCTTACACCCATCCAGTATGATATACACCTGCTGACATTGTACACCTGTCTTGCATGATATACACCTGCTGACGTCTTACTCCCATCCAGTATGATATACATCTGCTGACGTCTTACACCCATCCAGTATGATATACATCTGCTGACGTCATACACCCATCCAGTATGATATACACCTGCTGACGTTTTACACCCATCCAGTATGATATACACCTGCTGACGTCTTCTCCCATCTAGTATGATATACACCTGCTGACATCTTACACCCATCTAGTATGATATACACCTGCTGACATTGTACATCTGTCTTGCATGATATACACCTGCTGACGTCGTACTCCCATCCAATATGATATACATCTGCTGACGCCATACACCCATCCAGTATGATATACATCTGCTGACATCATACACCCATCCAGTATGATATACACCTGCTGACATTTTACACCCATCCAGTATGATATACACCTGTTGACATTGTACACCTGTCTTGCATGATATACACCTGCTGACATCTTACTCCTATCCAGTATGATATACACCTGCTGACATTGTACATCTGTCTTGCATGATATACACCTGCTGACGTCTTACTCCCATCAAGTATGATATACATCTGCTGAGGCCATACACCCATCCAGTATGATATACACCTGCTGACATCTTACACCCATCCAGTATGATATACATCTGCTGACATCTTACACCCATCCAGTATGATATACATCTGCTGACGTCATACACCCATCCAGTATGATATACACCTGCTGACGTTTTACACCCATCCAGTATGATATACACCTGCTGACATCGTACACCTGTCCAGTATGATATACACCTGCTGACGTCATACACCCATCCAGTATGATATACATCTGCTGACATCTTACACCCATCCAGTATGATATACACCTGCTGACATCTTACACCCATCCAGTATGATATACACCTGCTAACATCTTACACCCATCAAGTATGATATACATCTGCTGACATCTTACACCCATCCAGTATGATATACACCTGCTGACGTCATACACCCATCCAGTATGATATACATCTGCTGACATCTTACACCCATCCAGTATGATATACATCTGCTGACATCTTACACCCATCCAGTATGATATACATCTGCTGAGGCCATACACCCATCCAGTATGATATACACCTGCTGACATTGTACACCAATCCAGTATGATATACACCTGCTGACGTTTTCTCCCATCTAGTATGATCTACACCTACTGATGTCATACATCTGTCTAGTATGATATACAACTGCTGACACCTTACACCCATCCAGTATGATATACACCTGCTGATGTCATACACCTGTCTAGTATGATATACTACTGCTGACACCCTACACCCATCCAGTATGATATACACCTGCTGACGTTTTCTCCCATCTAGTATGATCTACAACTGCTGATGTCATACACCTGTCTAGTATGATATACAACTGCTGACACCTTACACCCATCCAGTATGATATACACCTGCTGATGTTTTCTCCCATCTAGTATGATCTACAACTGCTGATGTCATACACCTGTCTAGTATGATATACAACTGCTGACACCCTACACCCATCCAGTATGATATACACCTGCTGATGTCATAAATAACTCTATGTTAAATGACAAGGTTTCAGGAATATAATTTTTTAGGTGATGTGTATTATTGGATAAAGGTATTTAGTGTGCTATTGTGATGAAGAGAATGTAGTACTTATGACATGTTGACGGACAGTGTGTGTTGGTTCTGGAAGATGAAGCACAACGTCCCTGTGGAGAGTCCTTGTCAGGTGCTGTAGGCATGATATGGCCTGTCTGTCTTATCTCCGAGGGAGGTCACACGACCTTCACAGTAACACATACCTATCTCACACAAGTCCTGACACAAGTCCTGACACAAGTGCCTTGTCAATACACATACTCTCAAGACACAGGAGCAAATTTGAAACAAGCTGTAAATCTGGAGTACATAACGGTGCTGTGAAGAACCAGTTAAAACTGAATGCCACCATGTCTATTACATTCCTCGATACAAGTATCCAAAGATCTAACAATGTCCCTATGTAAGGGTTATCTGTTGATAACAACATATGATTGAGTGTATGCCTGATAAACAGTTTACAAGGACTTATTGCTCTGATAGCATTGGGTGATTTCAGTCCCATCACAGCATCATTGTCCTGTACCATTGGGTGATTTCAGTCCCATCATAGCATCATAGCACTGTAGCATTGGGTGATTTCAGTCCCATCATAGCGTCATAGCCCTGTAGCATTAGGTGATTTCAGTCCCATCATAGAGTCACATGGACCTGTAGCATTGGGTGATTTCAGTCCCATCATAGCGTCACATGGACCTGTAGCATTGGGTGATTTCAGTCCCATCATAGCGTCATAGCTCTGTAGCATTTGGTGATTTCAGTCCCGTCATAGGGTCAGGACCCTGTACCATTGGGTGATTTCAGTCCCATCATAGCGTCATAGCCCTGTAGCATTGGGTGATTTCAGTCCCATCATAGTGTCACATGGACCTGTAGCATTGGGTGATTTCAGTCCCATCATAGCGTCACATTGACCTGTAGCATTGGGTGATTTCAGTCCCATCATAGCGTCATAGCCCTATAGCATTGGGTGATTTCAGTCCCATCATAGTGTCAGGACCCTGTACCATTGGGTGATTTCAGTCCCATCATAGAGTCAGGACCCTGTAGCATTGGGTGATTCAGTCCCATCATAGCGTCATAGCCCTGTAGCATTGGGTGATTTCAGTCCCATCATAGAGTCAGGACCCTGTAGCATTGGGTGATTTCAGTCCCATCATAGAGTCAGGACCCTGTAACATTGGGTGATTCAGCCCCATCATAGAGTCAGGACCCTGTAGCATTGGGTGATTCAGTCCCATCATAGAGTCAGGACCCTGTAACATTGGGTGATTCAGTCCCATCATAAAGTCAGGACCCTGTAACATTGGATGATTTCAGTCCCATCATTGAGTCAGGACCCTGTAGCATTGGGTGATTCAGTCCCATCATAGAGACAGGACCCTGTAGCATTTAGTGATTTCAGCCCCATCATAGAGACAGGACCCTGTAGCATTGGGTGATTTCAGTCCCATCATAGAGTCAGGACCCTGTAGCATTGGGTGATTCAGTCCCATCATAGAGTCAGGACCCTGTAGCATTGGGTGATTCAGTCCCATCATAGTGTCAGGACCCTGTAGCATTGGGTGATTCAGTCCCATCATAGTGTCAGGACCCTGTAGCATTGGGTGATTTCAGTCCCATCATAGAGTCAGGACCCTGTAGCATTGGGTGATTCAGTCCCATCATAGAGTCAGGACCCTGTAGCATTGGGTGATTCAGTCCCATCAGAGTGTCAGGACCCTGTAGCATTGGGTGATTCAGTCCCATCATAGAGTCAGGACCCTGTAACATTGGGTGATTCAGTCCCATCATAGTGTCAGGACCCTGTAGCATTGGGTGATTCAGTCCCATCATAGTGTCAGGACCCTGTAACATTGGGTGATTCAGTCCCATCATAGTGTCAGGACCCTGTAACATTGGGTGATTCAGTCCCATCATAAAGTCAGGACCCTATAGCATTGGGTGATTCAGTCCCATCATAGTGTCAGGACCCTGTAACATTGGGTATGGTGTGACTGCCAGTTGTGCCCATGTTACACTGGTGGCAGTAGTGTTTGAATCTCTCTCTCTAATCTCACTCTCTTTTCACCGTCCGGGTATGGTTACCTCAAGCTACATTCAACTATATTCAAAAGGCAAAGGTTAGTCATTCAAAAGCCATTGCTCTTGTGTGTTTAGGGGTCATATGTTGATCTCCGTGTCTATTTATTCTCTCTGATATTAGGTTTCTATTATGAATGTTAGCCATTTGTATTTTTAGCAGCCGTCTCTGGGATGAATGAGAACGATAAATAGAACTTCAACTATACGTATTGACATAAGTGAGCCCATTACCAATATTGAAAGCTGATCCAGGATAACACACATGTGATTTCCACAGAGATAAATGAGAGATTGTGGGGATTGCGATGACTGTGATGTTGCTGTCCCCCGTCACTGTCACCAGTGAAGTGGTGTTTGTTTGATATATACTGAAGGTTGTCATGCTAAGTCCTTTATACGCTTATGATGATGAAAGGAAAACCTACAGCCTGAGATGTGATTCACATGATGGTGTGGGATTTCCACTGAATTACCTGCTTGATTTGTACAACACTTAGTCTATTTGTAGGGTTTGTGTTTATACTAACTTTTCCCACACATGCATCACGTTTGCAAATATGATTGAATGTGTCCAGTTCCACAATTTTGTCTAAAGCTTTAACCATTGTAAGGCTGGCAGATCCAAATGTTTTTGTTTTTTTAGAGCAATTATATTTATTAGGAATCAACAAATCATTAAATATAAAATTTATTACCCTGTTCTGTGCAAAGAATTCAGGTGTTAGACAAAAGGGAAATCCAAACATGCCTGTCATGACTGAGTCCGTCACTCAACATTGCCTAAAGAATTCATCATCGAAGAATTCATTGTTGTAAAGGATTCATCATCATAAAGAATTCATTATCTTAAAGGATTCATCATCATAAAGAATTCATCATCTTAAAGGATTCATCATCATAAAGAATTCATCATCATAAAGAATTCACCATCTTAGAGAATTCATCTTAAAGAATTCATCATCATAAAGAATTCATCATCTTAAAGAATTCATCATCATAAAGAATTCATCATCTTAAAGAATTCATCTTAAAAGATTCATCATCATAAAGAATTCATCGTTGTAAAGAACTCATCATCTTAAAGAATTCATCATTTTAAAGAACTCATCATCTTAAAGAATTCATCATCATAAAGAACTCATCATCTTAAAGAATTCATCATCATAAAGAACTCATCATCTTAAAGAATTTAATTCATCATCATAAAGAATTCATCATCTTAAAGAATTCATCATCATAATGTCAACACAACAATTACAGCAATAGAAACCAGTTAACAAGGCCAAAACAGAAACTTGCATTCAGGTTTTATACCATTAGAAAAGACGGGTAGGAAGATAACAAAATATTTTTTTCATTACAAGTTCTGAGTTTCAATGCCAATGTGATAAACTACAGGCTCATTAAAAGAGTGAACATCACAAGTCACATGATTGTAAGCAGGGGCTGAAAATATAACCTGAGTTATGGCCTAGCGGTTTTCTCCAAGGTGCAACGTGATGTTGAACAGCAACTTATAATTACGATGTTGTTTAACCTGTATAGATTACACAGATATCATTGAATATACAAAGGAAATTTCCATTGGTGTCAAGTAAAAGTAGACCTGGAGTGGGTAATAAAACACAGACACAGACAGATGGACATCTGAGTAGGGCTGTGACACATCAGTATTGTTTAGTTGAACCATCACTTTTCAGCTCTTGGGGAATTCAGTGTGCACACAAAGCTGTGATAAAGTATGTATAACTCAAGAATGAATAAGACTGGGTACATTCCATGTTCAGGAATAAAATTCTTCCAAGACATTATATTAGTAAACAAGAAAACATGAGTGTGGATTCAACACCTCGACTTACATCAGGAACACACTTTATGTTCTTGGTAGAGACTTCATGACTGACTCATTAGGCTATGTCCTTCTTCAGAGTTTCCCTGAGCCGCTGTGCTTCAACAAGGACACTGGGGGGTTTGAGGTGGTCAGCAATGCCAAGAAACAGCTGGCCCAGCAGATCAAGGCAGCCATCCGGTCACAGCGCCGTACACCACGCATGTACCATGTGGCCAAACTGCACAGCTTCATTGACATCCCTCTCATCCCCATTGAAGAGCCCATGGGACCGGAGAAGGTGGAGATCGATACATCATTCACTGTCACTGTGAGTAAAGAAATGTTTACTTATCTGGAAACCCGTGAAGATCCGGGTTAGAATAGGTCTTCAGTAACCCATGCTTGCAGTAAGAGGTGACTATGCTTGTCGTAAGAGGCGACAAATGGGATCGGGTGGTCAGGCTCACTGATTTGGTTGATGCATGTCATTGTATCCCAATTGCCTGGATTGATGCTCATGATGTCAATCACTGGATTGTCTGGTCCAGATTTGATTGTTTACAGACCAACATCATATAGCTTAAATATTGCTGAATGTGGCCTTAAACAACAACCAAACAAAGAAATTAATAAGGCAACTAAACAAGTCTATTTTTTTATAATGGATTTGTCCTGGAATAATAAACAAACACAAAATAGTAGAAGTAATGGTACATTTAGTCCAAATATGTGGGTAACTCTGTGTTTGCATGTGCAGACACTGAACAAGGAGCAGGGCATCCACTGGGTGAAGGCGGAGCGTCTGCCCTCCTTCCTGGAGAGTGACTGCTACCTGGAGTACCGCCTGGCCAGCATTGTCTCACAGGCCAGACTCAGCCAGGACACCAAGGAGTTTGCCATCATGAAGATAGACTACAAACCTCGCATCAAGCGATCCAAGAAGAAAGACGATGATGAGCCTAAGGTGGACCCCAAGGAAGAGCTCATCAAGAACATGTACGTGTGTATGGGCAATGCAAGCACTACTGACACCGATGCCTGGTTCTCTGAGGCTCAGATGGTTCAAAATACAGAGACAACATTCTCTACAATGTCTCGTCCACAGAGTGCTATCCGCCCCAGCAGTGCTAGGCCTGTGAGTGTTATGGGTCTGACTGACCTCAGTCGAAGATGTGACAGTGGATTTGGGAGTCCATCAAAGAGTTCTGTATTTGGCAGTGGCTACTTTGGTTCCAGACATGGAATTTACCCTGATGAGAGTGCTGAAGATGATGTACCCAGCAATAGACTATTCACCAGCAGCTCTGTCAAACCCAACACTCCTCGCCCCTCTGAACCTGTGTGTGTCATGTCTAATGATGATGGTCAGAGAGGGTCAAGGCATGGAGCAATGGTGTATGCCTATCCCCGATCTGAGACCACGGACACTGAGTCTGGCATGGGAGACACAGAGGAAGACAGGGAGGAAGAACTGTCCACGTACCAGGATGCTCAGCAGACAGGTGACAGGGAGAACCAGTCAGAGCAAGATCTTCCCCCAAAAGATGAGAGTGTTATAGTGGAAAGTATAGATGACTTAGGAGCAGTAATTGTTGGTGCAATTCTGAAACGCTGCATTGCTAGTATTATTGATGAGGATGAGAGGAGTATTGAGAGTGATCCTCAGATCCAGGGAATGTTCCCACAGAAGGAGTACTCCTACATCACTATGGATATGCTGGACCGTTTGTCTGTAGGGCCCAGTCAGAAGGGGCAGGTTCGGCTCCCAGAGGTGGAACTGGAGGAGCCAGAGAAGGAGCTGGCCCAGCTGCAGGAGAAGAAGGAGGAGAGTGATGTGGATTCCCTCCTGGACAGTGAGGAGGACTATGAGGAGCAGGACACCTTCTTCAGGAAACACAAACACCGGACATATGACCTGATGAAGTTGAAGGGGGTCCAGCAGTTTAAGGCTTTCCTGGAAGGTACCCTCGGGGAGAAGCACTGGAACCTCTGGGTGGACATTGACCGGAGTCGTATGCTCAAGTCAGAGGAGCACACTCTCCTGTAAGTACTGATTTGTGGTAGTGTTTGAAATATACGCCTGCCCTTAGGTCCATGGCAGGTACATCTCATGTCAGGACTATAGTTTAAGACTTGTCGAGGCCTCATGGCAGGTACATCTCTTGTCAGGCCCATAGTTTAAGACTTGTCGAGGCCTCATGGCAGGTACATCTCTTGTCAGGCCCATAGTTTAAGACTTGTCGGGGTCCTCATGGCAGGTACATCTCTTGTCAGGCCTATAGTTTAAGACTTGTCGAGGCCTCATGGCAGGTACATCTCATGTCAGGCCCATAGTTTAAGACTTGTCGGGGTCCTCATGGCAGGTACATCTCTTGTCAGGCCCATAGTTTAAGACTTGTCGAGGCCTCATGGCAGGTACATCTCTTGTCAGGCCCATAGTTTAAGACTTGTCGAGGCCTCATGGCAGGTACATCTCTTGTCAGGCCCATAGTTTAAGACTTGTCGAGGCCTCATGGCAGGTACATCTCTTGTCAGGCCCATAGTTTAAGACTTGTCGGGGTCCTCATGGCAGGTACATCTCTTATCAGGCCCATAGTTTGAGACTTGTCGAGGCCTCATGGCAGGTACATCTCTTGTCAGGCCTATAGTTTAAGACTTGTCGGGGTCCTCATGGCAGGTACATCTCTTATCAGGCCCATAGTTTGAGACTTGTCGAGGCCTCATGGCAGGTACATCTCTTGTCAGGCCCATAGTTTAAGACTTGTCGAGGCCTCATGGCAGGTACATCTCTTGTCAGGCCCATAGTTTAAGACTTGTCGGGGTCCTCATGGCAGGTACATCTCTTGTCAGGCCTATAGTTTGAGACTTGTCGAGGCCTCATGGCAGGTACATCTCTTGTCAGGCCCATAGTTTAAGACTTGTCGAGGCCTCATGGCAGGTACATCTCTTGTCAGGCCCATAGTTTAAGACTTGTCTGGGTCCTCATGGCAGGTACATCTCTTGTCAGGCCTAGAGTTTAAGACTTGTCTGGGTCCTCATCGCAGGTACATCTCTTGTCAGGCCCATAGTTTAAGACTTGTCGAGGCCTCATGGCAGGTACATCTCTTGTCAGGCCCATAGTTTAAGATTTGTCGGGGTCCTCATGGCAGGTACATCTCTTATCAGGCCCATAGTTTAAGACTTGTCGAGGCCTCATGGCAGGTACATCTCTTGTCAGGCCCATAGTTTAAGACTTGTCGGGGTCCTCATGGCAGGTACATCTCTTGTCAGGCCTATAGTTTAAGACTTGTCGAGGCCTCATGGCAGGTACATCTCTTGTCAGGCCCATAGTTTAAGACTTGTCGAGGCCTCATGGCAGGTACATCTCTTGTCAGGCCCATAGTTTAAGACTTGTCGAGGCCTCATGGCAGGTACATCTCTTGTCAGGCCCATAGTTTAAGACTTGTCGAGGCCTCATGGCAGGTACATCTCTTGTCAGGCCCACAGTTTAAGACTTGTCGAGGCCTCATGGCAGGTACATCTCTTGTCAGGCCCATAGTTTAAGACTTGTCGAGGCCTCATGGCAGGTACATCTCTTGTCAGGCCCATAGTTTAAGACTTGTCGGGGTCCTCATCGCAGGTACATCTCTTGTCAGGCCTATAGTTTAAGACTTGTCGAGGCCTCATGGCAGGTACATCTCTTGTCAGGCCCATAGTTTAAGACTTGTCGGGGTCCTCATGGCAGGTACATCTCTTGTCAGGCCCATAGTTTAAGACTTGTCGGGGTCCTCAGGGCCTGCAGTAAATTTATGTGCCAAATTATTTGTCACAATTAGCTGCAGTTTTTATTAATGAGGGTCTGAACAGTTTAGTCAGTTTAGTTTAGCTCCTACAAAAGTCTGTGGGTCCTGATGGCAACCTGGCATTTATTTTCATTTCAAACACTGATTCATGGTTACACATGAATACTACTAGTCATGTTGTTTTTTTAATAGTGTTCCCGGGTAGGTTAAATCTCAATCTTATTAAAATCAGATCTTTGTTCTCACTGCCGCTAAACAAAGATCTGAGGACATCCCATTATGGATCACGCAGACCGACCTTTTGCAAACTCTGACCGACCAATGGAATTACTAACAAGAAGTCGACATTAGCCAAACAGAAGGCAGCTTTCTCGTGCTTTACGGCACTAATTTCAAATTGGGGACTACGCTTCGAAACATATTTTGACAAATTCTCGCTTAAAAATTTGAAACCTGAACAAAAGAACGTTCTAGAATGGCTAATATATGGTCTGGATTGTATAGATTCAGTCGCTAAGCCCGTAACTATCGTTCGGAATACCCCGTTTTAACGTTTTCTAGGCTGCATGATTAGAAATCACATTCCGACTGTCACTTTCATGATCTGGTAAGCGACGCTCTGATTGGTCGGATGAAAGGTCGTTCTGACGTGACCTCTAATGGGATGTCCTCAGATCTTTGTTTAGTGGCAGCAAGAACTGAGATCTGATTTTAATGAGATTGGTTAAATCTCTATTCAGAAACTGTTCTTTCCCGACGGTGAAGATATTCTATTCTTTTGATATTAAATCTTGTAAAACTATTTTGTTAATAATGTTTTGTATCCTTACAGTTACTTAGCAAACATGCGTGAGAAGTACCAGCACACTGGGTCTCCCTATGAGCTGTCGATGGAGTGGAAGACTTTGCTAGGTTTGGTGGAACCGTCCAGCTGGACTGTAGACAGACTATTGTCCATTCAGAACAAGGTGGCAGAACCTCTTGTGCTCTACTGGTATGTACTCAACATATATCTGCATTGTATTAATTTCTTAGTTGTGATACCTCATAATACTCAATTTTAGGTTGGCTTACAATGTGGATTTCATGATTTTCATATTTATACATTGAATTTCCAGGGCACCTCGATTTCTCCTGAAGCAGATGGCTCCCTCAAATCCAGACAGATACTACCTGTACCACCATCAGCAGCTACTCAAGAGAAGGAAAGAGGTCTACCCCAATCCCCCAACTGCAGTAATTCTGCCACTCAGACCCCGCTCCTGTATGCCTCGTACTCAACACACCGCAATCATCACAGAGGTAAGTGTCACACAAGACACATGTACCACCCTCCAACTACAGCCATCCTTCCCTTCAGACCCCACATCTGTGTGCCTCGTACTCTACACACGGCAGTCATCACAGAGGTAAGTGTCACACAAGACACGCGTCCAACCCTCCAACTACAGCCATCCTTCCCTTCAGACCCCACATCTGTGTGCCTCGTACTCTACACACGGCAGTCATCACAGAGGTAAGTGTCACACAAGACACGCGTCCAACCCTCCAACTACAGCCATCCTTCCCTTCAGACCCCACATCTGTGTGCCTCTAATCAACACACGGCAGTCATCATAGAGGTAAGTGTCACACAAGACGCACGTCCCACCCTCCAACTACAGCCATCCTTCCCTTCAGACCCCACATCTGTGTGCCTCGTACTCTACACACGGCAGTCATCACAGAGGTAAGTGTCACACAAGACACGCGTCCAACCCTCCAACTACAGCCATCCTTCCCTTCAGACCCCACATCTGTGTGCCTCGTACTCTACACACGGCAGTCATCACAGAGGTAAGTGTCACACAAGACACGCGTCCAACCCTCCAACTACAGCCATCCTTCCCTTCAGACCCCACATCTGTGTGCCTCGTACTCAACACACAGCAGTCATGACAGAGGTAAGTGTCACACAAGACACGCGTCCAACCCTCCAACTACAGCCATCCTTCCCTTCAGACCCCACATCTGTGTGCCTCGTACTCTACACACGGCAGTCATCATAGAGGTAAGTGTCACACAAGACGCACGTCCCACCCTCCAACTACAGCCATCCTTCCCTTCAGACCCCACATCTGTGTGCCTCGTACTCTACACACGGCAGTCATCACAGAGGTAAGTGTCACACAAGACACGCGTCCAACCCTCCAACTACAGCCATCCTTCCCTTCAGACCCCACATCTGTGTGCCTCGTACTCTACACACGGCAGTCATCACAGAAGTAAGTGTCACACAAGACACGCGTCCAACCCTCCAACTACAGCCATCCTTCCCTTCAGACCCCACATCTGTGTGCCTCGTACTCTACACACGGCAGTCATCACAGAGGTAAGTGTCACACAAGACACGCGTCCAACCCTCCAACTACAGCCATCCTTCCCTTCAGACCCCACATCTGTGTGCCTCGTACTCAACACACAGCAGTCATCACAGAGGTAAGTGTCACACAAGATACGCGTCCAACCCTCCAACTACAGCCATCCTTCCCTTCAGACCCCACATCTGTGTGCCTCTGGCCCAAACACGGCAGTCATCACAGAGGTAAGTGTCACACAAGACACGCGTCCAACCCTCCAACTACAGCCATCCTTCCCTTCAGACCCCACATCTGTGTGCCTCGTACTCTACACACGGCAGTCATCACAGAGGTAAGTGTCACACAAGACACGCGTCCCACCCTCCAACTACAGCCATCCTTCTCTTCAGACCCCACATCTGTGTGCCTCGTACTCTACACACGGCAGTCATCACAGAGGTAAGTGTCACACAAGACACGCGTCCAACCCTCCAACTACAGCCATCCTTCCCTTCAGACCCCACATCTGTGTGCCTCTGGCCCAAACACGGCAGTCATCACAGAGGTAAGTGTCACACAAGACACGCGTCCAACCCTCCAACTACAGCCATCCTTCCCTTCAGACCCCACATCTGTGTGCCTCGTACTCAACACACAGCAGTCATCACAGAGGTAAGTGTCACACAAGACACATGTACCACCCTCCAACTACAGCCATCCTTCCCTTCAGACCCCACATCTGTGTGCCTCGTACTCTACACACGGCAGTCATGACAGAGGTAAGTGTCACACAAGACACGCGTCCCACCCTCCAACTACAGCCATCCTTCCCTTCAGACCCCACATCTGTGTGCCTCGTACTCTACACACGGCAGTCATCACAGAGGTAAGTGTCACACAAGACACACGTCCCACCCTCCAACTACAGCCATCCTTCCCTTCAGACCCCACATCTGTGTGCCTCGTACTCAACACACAGCAGTCATCACAGAGGTAAGTGTCACACAAGACACGCGTCCAACCCTCCAACTACAGCCATCCTTCCCTTCAGACCCCACATCTGTGTGCCTCATACTCAACACACGGCAGTCATCACAGAGGTAAGTGTCACACAAGACACGCGTCCAACCCTCCAACTACAGCCATCCTTCCCTTCAGACCCCACATCTGTGTGCCTCGTACTCTACACACGGCAGTCATCATAGAGGTAAGTGTCACACAAGACACGCGTCCAACCCTCCAACTACAGCCATCCTTCCCTTCAGACCCCACATCTGTGTGCCTCGTACTCAACACACGGCAGTCATCACAGAGGTAAGTGTCACACAAGACACGCGTCCAACCCTCCAACTACAGCCATCCTTCCCTTCAGACCCCACATCTGTGTGCCTCTGGCCCAAACACGGCAGTCATCACAGAGGTAAGTGTCACACAAGACACACGTACCAATCGTGTCCTCCACAGTATGGTTTTGGATCATAACACATATTTCCCATACCTACAGGGCATCATTTTGTTCTATTCTACTTTACAATTGATAGCCATTGATGATACTATAAATGCCACCATGTGCAGGCGCTGGCGCCAGTGTGTCAGGAAGACTTCAGTGCCCCAACATCGCCACCAGTCGGACTGAAGAGAGTGTATGCCCGGCCCAGCACAGTCACCTCCCAGAGGGAGAGTGCCAAGACACACAGTAAGAAGCCCAAGGAGCTCCTGTCTCCCCGACTCAAGATGGATAGAGTCACCTCCGCCAGAGTGCGGACTCCGGCTACTGCAAGGTATCTAACTAAAGGAAATACTGAGTGTTGTAAACTATGTGTATGCTACAATGTGTTTTGTTGAAAAGCTTTGTTAAATTGGAACCCTTCCAGATCTTTAATTTTTCTTGATAAATATCAAGTCAAAAATTAAAAACAAGCCATTGCATTCAGCATGGTGACATTTACTGCGTACACAAATAATGGCTTTTGAAGTGGTATGACAAATATGATAAGGAAAAACAGTTGAAAAATGTTTTCCTACCTGTGAGGTTTCATGATCCAGTGTTTGTGTGTTTCAGAGCTCAGTCAGCTGTTTCCAGACAGAAATCTGCAAAGGTGCCAGCAAGTCGTCCAGTCTCTGCTTTGTCTGATTCATCTGATTCCTGGGAGTCTGCCTCAGTGATGTCTGACCGTCTGTCCCCCCGACACACAGCACGTCCAGTGTCAGGCCGGCCATCCTCTAGTATGCTGTCCCCCCGCCGCACAGCAAGACCTGTGTCTCCTTCCAACAGGCTGTCCCCTACCACTCCAGCACGCCCAACCTCTGCAGCTTCAGTGAAGAGTTCGTCCACAGTGTCAGAGTTCACCGGAGGCCGGAGAATGGAGGCACTGCTTCAGGCACTGCACCACGAGAGATCATCAGGTGGCTTCTTCAGAAAATTTGTTGAGAGAGGTAAAAATAAGGTAAGAAATGAAATATTTTGTACAAACAAGTCAGTTTAGAAAAGTAAAAGCCAGAAACTGATGGCTCACAGGACAGTCTTGCATCACTTACAGAAATCCCCTAAATCCAAGAAAAAGTTAATTTTGTTAATGCTGACTTTTGTGGTGCCAGAGTTTACATGTTTTTCTAGCAATCATTTTTGTGGCAGTTTGAATATATAAAGAATACAGATACATACAGAATACATGTGGATTGTGTACCTTATTGCTGTGGCTGATGTTGCTTTTCTAGCTGTGGCTGTCGGCGCTGGACTTCTGGCGTGAAGTGCAGGAATACCACCTTCTGTTCTACACGGATGTCATCGACCACTACATGCTGGAGAAGAAGGCTCATGTAAGTGGCCCTGTGAGATGAAGGGAGAGGGTTAGGGTCACACACTTTGCATAGAGGTTCATTGACACAATAACACACACAGCCAATTGGTGAGTGTTATGTGATAATTGACAGTTTGTGATGGCCAGTTGATGAGTTTTGTGTGAATTGACGGTTTGTGACCACAGTTGGGGTAAATGGCCATGTTCCTACAGGGGTTGCTTCCCTTTTCCTACATCTTTCAATATTCAAATGATACAGAATACAGATCACAGATAAAGAAACCAGAATATTGGAGAAATTATGATGTGTGGTTCATACACTATAATATCAAGAACAAATGTGAAGAAATGTAAGCTGAAGAGTTTTACAATGTTGTCCCTGTTTATCCCCAGGCTGTGTACTCCCAGTATGTTGTTCGAGGGGCAATGTACGACATCGGTTGTTCTGGACCAATCAGAGATGAGATATACCGCTGTCTGGACCCTCCATATGAGGAACTATTTGATGCAGCAGAAGAGCACTCCTTGGCAATCCTGTACGACGCCTGGCTCTACAACCTGAACGATGACGTGAAGACCTACAGCAAGGTAGGTACACATGTCCCACAGACTGGCTGACAGTGCCCTGCTTTCATCACACTATGTCCTGACCATGAGTATCATTGTTCCTTCATCTTGGAGTTTAGGAGATAAGGTGATGAACCTGTATCATCATGAATGAATGTATTCAATGGTGAAGTAATGTGGCGGCTTGTTATGCCTGGTACCCAGTTCTGCTTCCTCACAATATTATTGGAATAAGCTAAAAGCTTTCACAAAAGTAACCTCACTCACTCCCTCACTACTGAATGAATGCATCTCTTTCTGTTGTCTGCATGTAGCATGTTCTACATGTTCAAGCCCCGTGTCAGTCACACCACATACACAAAGTACAGGTCACCTAGACATGCATTTGTACATCAGGAAACAAGCAGGTCGGACCAATAAACCCATTTCACCAGATATGTCCTAGAGAGTATCAGATTACTTGCATACCCATGAAGATCTGGGGTACAATAGGTCTTCAGCAACCCATGCTTACCGTAAAAGGCGACTATGCTTGCAGTAAGAGGCGACTAACAGAATCGGGTGGTCAGGCTCGCTGACTTGGTTGATGCATGTAATTGTATCCTAATTGGGTAGATTGTTGCTCATGATATCAATCACTGGATTGTCTGGTCCAGACTCAATTATTTACAGACCACCAACATTAGGCTGGAATATTGCTGAGTGCAGCGTTAAATAACAAACAAACAAACAAACAAACAAACAAACAGATTACTTAATATATAGTCCAAGAGCATGTCAAGAAATCAATCACAGCCTCATGACTGTCACCGTGGACATGTGAACAGCCTGTCACAGGGTCTGCCATCGACTTATGAGGGGTTTTCACAAACATTAACTGTCGTACATTTTCTGCCTGTAGGTGGAGCTGATTGATGTGAAGCGCCACCTGGAGACCCGGTCCAAGTATGTGCTACACCTACAGAAGCGAGGCCTCATCAAGGAGGTCAGTGGGAGTTGGTCAATGTTTGGTCAACTACATGAACAGTCAGGTTGGGTTTAACCTCCACAAGAGCACTGTGCGTTTGAAATCCAATCAGCGCTAATTAACTGTTAACTGTTGGCTTCCATTTGTCCATTGCAAATCACCTATCAGTGCCAATTAACTGTTGGTTTCCACCTGTGTTATCTTATTACTTTTGTTGTCCTTAGAGGTACATATATACTACTCAAAAGAAGTTAAGGATCACCCAATTATTTTCTATTACTATAGTTAATCTCTCATGCCATTACAGATTAACAATAGTAATTTGAAAGAATCTGCTGATCCTTAACTTCTTTTGAGTAGTATATATATTCTCTGCCTCTTGCATTTATTCACCTTTTGAAGGAGTAAGTAGATACTCCGAAACATTGTGTTCCTCATAATGTACAAGTTGACATCCTTAAATTCTCTTCCTTATGTGTATCACTTCTAAATGTCATTCAAAGACTATGTATTAATGTTTAGGTGAAGAAAAAGCAAGTCTTTTTTTATGAAACAATATGAAGCTAAAGCAAATATTTTATGGACTCTTCTTTTGCTTCATCCCAAGTTGGTGAAACAGGGAGAGGTGTGTTTCAACTATATGAAAGACAGGGAATGATTGACATGTAGAGAGTAATATCACATACAGGTGCTGTTCAATGGTGACATTGCGCTGATATATTTCAGCGCGTGTTGACCCCTGATGACCCCATGGAAGGCTTCGAGGACCCTGTATATGATGATAGTCTCTTGGAGAACATTCCCCCTGATTTCCGAGACTACACTCTGGAGAAGCTGATACACAACCGTATTGAGCTGGAACACTTCCGCCAGTTCCTCGCGGACAACTACGCCAGCATGGACCTGATGTGTTGGATGGACACTGAGGCATGGCGGAGAATTACACACTCGGATGAGAAGAAGCGGGATCAGAAAGCCAAGGAGATCAAAACAAAATACCTTAACAAGAAATACTTCTTCGGCCCTAACAGTCCTGCTGGGAAGGAGGGTCAAGATAAGGTGAGCTAACACCCATTATTGACACTATCGTCACCAATTTGAAGAACAAACCATTTAGTTCTTGAATAACTTGATAAGAAAGAAACTTGTTTTGGAACAAGATGAGCATTCAGTGAATCAGTATTTTGGAGGAAAGGAGCTCCTTACTGTAGCATCATTTCAGACTGCACAAATCTTGGTCAGAATCAGAAATTTCAGTGGGCTGATGAAACTGATCGCAAATGTTAATACCATGCAACTGTAGGAGGGCGTGGAGTCAGCTTGCTGACAGGGTTAACCCTTTGGTCATGTGGACAAGGCATCTGACCCAGTCAGCAAGCTATTTAGAAAGTGGAAGTAGAGGTAAAACAATACTTGCACACATATTTCATTCATTAATGTGAAGTGTTAGAATATATTTTAGCAATAACCTATGATTGTTTAGCCCATTTAGATATAAATAAAATGATAAAGAACCTACATTTTACATTACATTACATTACATTACATTACATTACATCATCAGTATAACTGATTGTGGACATATAACTCACCTGAGTTAAGATGACAACTTTACTCTATGCTGATCTGTGCAGTTCTGTCATGTGGTGAGAGAGTACGCAGGGTACTCCCAGACTGTAACCAACCAGTACTCTAGGTCTGTGATCAGCTGTACACCCAGACTGTAACCAACCAGTACTCTAGGTCTGTGATCAGCTGTACACCCAGACTGTAACCAACCAGTACTCTAGGTCTGTGATCAGCTGTACACCCAGACTGTAACCAACCAGTACTCTAGGTCTGTGATCAGTTGTACACCCAGACTGTAACCAACCAGTACTCTAGGTCTGTGATCAGCTGTACACCCAGACTGTAACCAACCAGTACTCTAGGTCTGTGATCAGCTGTACACCCAGACTGTAACCAACCAGTACTCTAGGTCTGTGATCAGCTGTACTCCCAGACTGTAACCAACCAGTACTCTAGGTCTGTGATCAGCTGTACACCCAGACTGTAACTAACCAGTACTCTAGGTCTGTGATCAGCTGTACACCCAGACTGTAACCAACCAGTACTCTAGGTCTGTGATCAGCTGTACACCCAGACTGTAACCAACTAGTACTCTAGGTCTGTGATCAGCTGTACTCCCAGACTGTAACCAACCAGTACTCTAGGCCTGTGATCAGCTGTACACCTAGACTGTAACCAACCAGTACTCTAGGTCTGTGATCAGCTGTGATCCCAGACTGTAAGCAGCCAGTACTCTAGGTCTGTGATCAGCTGTACACCCAGACTGTAACCAACCAGTACTCTAGGTCTGTGATCAGCTGTACACCCAGACTGTAACCAACAAGTTCTCCAGGCCTGTGATCAGCTGTACACCCAGACTGTAGCCAACCAGTACTCTAGGTCTGTGATCAGCTGTACACCCAGACTGTAACCAACCAGTACTCTAGGTCTGTGATCAGCTGTACACCCAGACTGTAACCAACCAGTACTCTATGCCTGTGATCAGCTGTACACCCAGACTGTAACCAACCAGTACTCTAGGTCTGTGATCAGCTGTACTCACAGACTGTAACCCACCAGTACTCTAGGTCTGTGATCAGCTGTACACCCAGACTGTAACCAACCAGTACTCTATGCCTGTGATCAGCTGTACACCCAGACTGTAACCAACCAGTACTCTAGGTCTGTGATCAGCTGTACACCCAGACTGTAACCAACCAGTACTCTAGGTCTGTGATCAGCTGTACACCCAGACTGTAACCAACCAGTACTCTAGGTCTGTGATCAGTTGTACACCCAGACTGTAACCAACCAGTACTCTAGGTCTGTGATCAGCTGTACACCCAGACTGTAACCAACCAGTACTCTAGGTCTGTGATCAGCTGTACACCCAGACTGTAACCAACCAGTACTCTAGGTCTGTGATCAGCTGTACTCCCAGACTGTAACCAACCAGTACTCTAGGTCTGTGATCAGCTGTACTCCCAGACTGTAACCAACCAGTACTCTAGGTCTGTGATCAGCTGTACACCCAGACTGTAACTAACCAGTACTCTAGGTCTGTGATCAGCTGTACACCCAGACTGTAACCAACAAGTTCTCTAGGTCTGTGATCAGCTGTACACCCAGACTGTAACCAACTAGTACTCTAGGTCTGTGATCAGCTGTACTCCCAGACTGTAACCAACCAGTACTCTAGGCCTGTGATCAGCTGTACACCTAGACTGTAACCAACCAGTACTCTAGGTCTGTGATCAGCTGTGCTCCCAGACTGTAAGCAGCCAGTCAGAGAAGATGGGTTCTCTGTAAAAGGGGTTAACAGTGGCCACAGACTACACACAAAGTGTATTTCATCAATTAATATTTTTGCGTTGTTACTTTATGTTTACTTGTTTATTGTTACTTTGATTTTTAAAGTTTTTTGCATACGTAACAGTTAGGTTTTTTAATCCATTTAAGATGTAGAGTCAAATAAATTAATATCCAATTTCATGTCATGACTGTGGCTTTTGGCTCCACTGGTGCCTTATAAATTTATTTATTTTAAACATTTGATCACATCATTGCCTACATACAATAGCTGTTATCGAAATAGAGTAACTGTACTTTGTTATAGACTGTACCAGATTCTCACTGTTTATCCTCTACAATCAGCCAAGCATTGATGATGGGAGCTCCATGTAAATGATGACTATCTCCAGTTGGTGATGAGATAGCTGGCCAATTACATGCATACGTCCTGTTGATATCATCAGCAGTGACAGATATCCCTTCCTCCTCTGATGACATGATACCTTGCTATCCCATCTGTCACTGCTAACAACACCTTGCAGGTGAAGGTATTCACTAACAACATATCTGTTCTCACCTCGACCCTGCCAGACAGGCACCCTGTCAGTTAGGATGACAGGAGTTACCCCCCTTAGACCATGCCCTGCCTGCCAGTTTTTCTGTGGGTAATTGCCATATCCAATGTGTGAGGAAATGTGGCCCAGCTGCAGAAACCACCAGTAAGAAAAGGATGTGTTTTCTTTGTAAACAGTGGCAACTGGTGTAAATATTTATTCACATAAGGGATTCAAAGTGAAGGAAATAGGTCTTATATACTAGAATGCATGCAATTTTGAACAGTGTTGACAACATGAAATGTTTGGCAGTGATATTTCGTCGGGACAAAGTATGTGTGTTCTCCTATATTGTCACTGACTGAGTCGTGGCATTTCCTGCAGCCAGTTACTGACATTTGCTAGAAGAGAAAAACACTAGCTGCTTGATATTTCTGCCAGATCTTTGAAGGATCTCGGAACCAATTTTCGACCCCAAGGAGTCAATCATTACTTGTGTGAATGTTGAGCTTGTTGACATTGGCTTGTCTCTCTCCAGAAGTTCATGCAGGCCACGGCAGTTATATTCCATTACCAGAACATGGAGCCTCAGTCATTCATGTACATTCAGGCTGTTTGTCATGAAGAGGCAATATGTATTCAGGTGTATTGCTAACTATAGGAGCCTCCTGTCCACACTGCATTGCAGAGTGAATGTGTTGCTGAGGTGTACAATGGTTGTAACATTGTAGTTGTGACTATATAAATGAGAGACATTTTCACGGCAGTATTATCATGAGTGCAGGGTTTAGAAATAAGGGGAGAGCAGTCTTGGAAGCTTCCCTCTGTCTGTTGTCATCTCATAAGGATTGGCTGTCATACATCATGCACACTCTTATTCATTTGTTGTCAGTCAAATTTATTTGTGTTTAACTAATAAAGATATTTTTATCCAACATTCCACTGTTATTCTATGGAGACAAAGCAATCTAACTTTATAAACAGGCCTGTAGAAGGGGGTGGGGTCTGTTGGGGCATACATCTTGTATACGTTAACAATTTTATCAACAAATTTTCACAAGGAGAAATTTGCTCAACCCTGCCACCCTGTATCTACATACATACAGGGTATTTGCTGTGAAACTGAATTTCAAAATCAATATAAGGTGATATACATATGTTGAGATTTAATAAAATGCTTTTTAGTTTTGTGTTTGAGCTACAAAAATATGTATTATATTTTCATCACCGGTCGGGTTGGGTAGCCTAGTGGTTAAAGCGTTCGCTCGTCATGCCGATGACCTTGGTTCAATTCCCGACATGGGTACACTGTGTGACACCTATTTCTGGTGTTCCCCCACCGTGATATTGCTGGAATATTGCTAAAAGTGGTGTAAAACCATACTCACTCACTCATACAAATAGTTGCATCAAAATCTCATGTCTTTCAATTTCTAATTTACACAATCACTTAAAGGCAGCTCTTCCCCTGTTTTTCTGAAGAATTCATTTTTGAATGGTGTACTGTGACATTTTCCACACAATCAACAATGATCAAGAGCTGATAGATAAAATATATACCCAATCAACCATAGCTTGAAATAATGCAGACAAGTTTATGAGAAAGCATATGTAGCATGTCTATTTTGGTAACTTGAAATGTGCACTCTACTTCCACAAATATTCTCTAATATTCCACAATATCATGGCGGGGGACACCAGAAATGGGCTTCACACATTGTACTCATGAGTGGAATTGAACCCGGGTCTTTGACATGACGAGCAAAAGCTTCAACCACTAGCCTCATCGTGCAGATGTGTTAAAACATGCAGTGTAAACACTTTCTTTAGTGATGTTTGGTTTGATCCAGTTGATAATATTGTTTTGAGAATACATTGTATATCTGTGAATGTGAGTGATGCGTGGGTCTAACTAAAGAGTTGGTTCTCCTGAAGGGGTGTCACCACTACGTCAATGCAGCAATATTATTCTGAAAGGATATGATGTGTGATACCCACTGAACTGTTTCACACATGGATCTACATGTAGTAATTTATATTTAATATATTTAATTTCAGGTGCACATCTAAGGTATTTCGCAAACACGGAATTTGCTATTGTATTTATGATAGAAATACTTATGTTGCCACTCCAGCTTTATCTGAAATAAATTATAGATTGAAATGAGATATTTTTATTTCAAATATGAACAAGATATTCAGAAATTTTCAAACCTTTTTAATAGTTTTTTTTTCAACATGAAAATTTACGCAAAATAATCACCAAGAACAAAGTATCGCGATGCATATTATATCAGGAGATTGCGACGTATTGCAACAACCCAACTTCCCAGGCTTATGATACAGCGCCCATTTCTGGTGTCCCCCGCTGTGATATTGCTGGAATATTGCTAAAAGCGGCGTAAAACCATACTTACTCACTCACTCACTATGATATACTGGTAGCTGTAACACCATGGTGGACAGGAACTGTTTTTGACACTGCTACCTTCTGAGAAAAAAAAGAAAACAAAGTAGGCCTGGGCACCTGGTCATTGTGGAAAATTGCATCTGAAGAGAAACCACTCTTAGCGTGGTATTTATAGTGATGTTCTATATAAGATTCATGTAATGATTTGGCCTTTGAGGAAGTAATAAAATGCAATTAGAAAGACACGATGATCTGCAGGTATCAAAGGACATCAATATGACATACCAGTACTTTCCAAACAGAAATTATTTGTCAATTTATGCCAACTGAACTCACCATGGTATACTGCGTGTGCAATATCGGTGAAATAATTTAATCATTAAGTAATTTGATATATCAACCAGCCATTTTGGATTGGCAACAGCTCAGGCAAAATGTGTTAGGAAAGTCAAGCAAAAAAAAATGATATCTCACTTTGTGAATAGTCAATGTATCATTTGTTTTTAAGAAAGAAGATATAAAACATGTGTATGCATGAGCCAAACCCAGCAATATGTGTATAGGTTGTGATAAACTTTGATATGTAGACTTAATTCATTGAAGTTGTCAGTCTGGACTGTGTCCATGTTTAGCATACCCGTATTCTACCTGTGAAACAACAGCAGAAGGACCCTATGGCAAGTGATCTTAGTACAGCTATTATATGCTTAAACTACAATATAACCAGTCTGAATATGGAGATTGCCCTGTGCAAGAGTCCCTTTGACTCTTGGTTCATTCCCATGTTTGTGTGATGGTTAAGTCTTACATTCTATTTTGTAAAATGTATTTTTAAGAACTAATTGATATCACATCTACGCTGTCTTTTATATCTCGTATGTAGTTACAAGTGTAGTCATCGTTGGGGATCCTGGGTAAGAATGTAGGTCCCCAGCAACCTATGCTTGCCGACTAAGTGGATAGGGTGGTCTGACTCGGTGACGTGATCTATTGCATGTCATTGTAAGATCATGATGTCAATCTATGGATTGTCTAGTCCAGACTTCATTATTTACAGACCGCCATATTGCGAAGTGGTGTTAACAGAGAGACAAACAAATAAACAAAGATATAGTCCTTTCTTTATTAGCTCTCATGGTACTTGGTAATGTGATCTTATGTCATGGCACATTATCCCTCATCCATCCCTCATCCGGACCATCATCCATCCGTTTTCCACATCTCCCCTAAAACCTCTATACCAATCAGAATTCTTTAATTGGGCATAGGTAATCACCGCAATGATCTCTTAAACTGTTTCACACAGATTTTTATCTAATTTAAACAGGCATAATGAAATATTGTTTGTCCAGGTGATATGTTTAGCAAATTTGGATATGGGGCTCTACATTGGCCAGTGATTTCCCACATCTAAAGCCACTTTATATGATGGAGACATGCACAGTATATTATCCAAATAATAGTGTTTGTAAACTTTGAAGAATTTTAATCTGATTTTGAAAATGGCCGTCATGGTGGCCATTTTTAAAATGTCAGTTTGGCTGACTGCTCCAATTATATTCACGTATCTCTGTGTAAATTTATCTAATTAAATACATCAAATGTGGGTACAAACAATATGTGTGTATTTGACCTTTGGACCTTTGGCGATGTTTCATCTGTATGTTTTTTCTTCAAAACTCTATAATTTTGCAGAGATGAAAAACAGTTACGTGGGCTTCAGAGTTTTGTGATTCCAACTTATTCATTGTTTCTTTTTCATAGTTTTCATGACTAAGTTGTGTACTTACTTTTAGTTCCCCTGTGAAACTAAATGCTGTTCTCATCTCTTGATGAAAATCAGTTTGATTCAAGTAAGAAGTTTTCAAAGTATGTTAATTTCATTTTCGTGAAGATTTTCAAAATGACTTGAGGGATGCTGAAATTTTCTCTGAAATTCTCCAAAGTTTGAGAATTCCTGACAGTGATTACCAGCTGTTGACAATAGAGGGAAAAAAGCTGTTCTGGCGGTACACCAGCAGCTGTAGAGTTTCTGTCCAAACACAAGATTTCCTGCTGGATGACGGTTTGTGTTAACACGAGCAACAGTTGTGCATGCACCACACGGCACACTTCCAATACAGCCTCGCTTTTTGGACTTACAATAACAGTGAGAATCCCCTTTCCAACTCGACACATTGAACAACAGGGTGGAGAGGACTGGCCACACTATCACATCACCTCAGTCTTACACAAACACACATAATAGCCTGGGAAAACTTTACTAACATCCAAACAAAAAAATAGCAGATTCTTAAAAAAATGAACAATAATTCAAATGATAGCATTGATTCAACAGATGTAGATACCAAGGTGAACACAGTCATTGTTCCAGTAAGATTTAATGTTGAGGAAACAAATGCAACTCGAATGTTGGGACGCGATTTTGTTATTATTTATATCTGTCCTGGTATGAAGTTCTATAAAATTCACAAAGAATCATCCGTTTAATGCTTGGCTATTGTTTGTCAATTGTGATTGATTATTCTTCCTATCAGCTATGCATTCTGAGTGAGAAGGTAAGTATATGGAGTCTTGCTGCATGTCGTGGAAGATATTCATTTGCAGTTACATTCAGTCACCTTCAAACACTGCTTGTAATGTCCTGGAATCCAAACGTTTGTTTCACCCTAGAACACTTCAGTCCACTCAAGATTGTATTAGTACAAACCATTTTTTATTTTTTAGAAAATTGACCTGTTAAAACCTCCCAGTTTGAACTGTTCAGGAAATATTCCAATATGTTGACTATATCGAGCCATTATAGTTGATTCAGGTATGTGGAATGGTCATTCTAAAGTCATTTTGAGATCATTAGTAGAACGTTTTGTGTTTATTAGAACACCTTCAAGGTTATCATTAACCAGCTGAACATTTGTCATGAACCATGTCATTAATCCAAGAGAAAGTAGTTATGGAAATATGATATTTAATCACCATAAAACCATCAAAGTCATTTGTGTGTAATAATCTGCTGGTGAAATAACACATGTAACATAATGTCCACAATTAATGAAACAATGGTACAGAATTATCTTGGACATTTGCTGCATGAGCTAATTGTTGTGTCTGTTTGTTGCAGGTAATGGCTGCAGGAGGTGGGTGGGGCAAGTTACTGGATGACCGACCCCCCAACTCTGTCATCCTGGAGGCACAAAAGTATGTGAGGGAACGTCTAGAGAGAAAATGGCTGCCTCTGTTCCTTGTGACCCCAGAGTTCGAGGAGAGACAGCGTCCACGCACTGGCATGGATGATGTAGTTGATGATGTCCTGGTGCAGAAGCGGAGACGCTCACAGGCCCTGTCTAAGGTACAGCTCAGTTCACACCCACCCATGCAGCTCTTTCACAATAGTGCGCAAGTTGTCTCCCTTGGATTACCCAAATAAACACTGATTGCCAAAAGAATGCTGAGGACAAGAAAAGGGGTTTTAAAAAATTGATTTTGGGGAGGTGGACGTTATATATCGCTCAAATAAATATTTTTCTTGAGGAAAACCTATCCCACGTAGCTCATGTACACATCTAATGGAAACAGATTCCAAACCTATACTTTTGACATTTTACTGTTTTTTGTTTGGACAGAAGACTTTGTTTGCTTGCTCTGCACTTTGTTGCAAGACCTCACAAATATCTTTAATCAACTGTTACTAATCATAAACACTAACCCAAAATTCATAGGTTTTTTATAGATACCCGGTAAATAAGGTATTGTTCTTGCGCTGATTTCATTGTTGTTCAGGACAAAGAGACATTGTGTAAGTACAACAAATAGAAACTGAGACCAACAAACATTTGTTCGATGATGCTATAAAATAGGCACAGATCACAGATTATACGCCCAGTACCCACTTACCTTTTAAAGGTGAACAAATTGTTTTACTGTTTTTTTTGTCTGACATTTAACTAATATTTGAAAACAAATACTCAAATATGGCATTTATTTCCTCCTACATGCAAAGATATGAGGCATCATCATACTTAAGGCACCCCCAGCGAAAGTATTACCCCAAAATAGATCCACTTAAGTAAAGATTTCACAAGAAAGTTGTCCCCAAGCTCCATCTGATCATGTGACACCCTCACAACAGTCTCTTGAACAAAACATCACTTTGATGAACTTGGCGAAATAACTGTGCACGTAGAATGCAATGCAACAATGTTGACATGTTTAACTTGGATGGTGGTACAAAAACCTAAGTATTTTCATGTAACAGACAATGTGCCTACAGGTCAGTAGTCTTATGTGCCAATGTATGCCCAGTGTAGGCCATTTAATCAGAGTTGTCTACTAAATTAGGAAACTATCTTTTGGTAATGATGGTAACATGGGATGTTGCCTGTTTCTCAAACTTGTTTATGACAAGGCTTTGAAGTACAAGCAGCCCAGATTAATCAGGTTGTCCATTATGAGGGCAGAAGCGGCGAACCCACAACGATCCAGGTTAGAATAGGTCTCTCTCACACACACACACACACACACACACACACACACACACACACAGATACACATGCATGCACGTCACTATATAAGTGTTATTATCTTGGACGCGACGTTATACCCAATTTCCCCTCACCTCACCTCACCTCATATCCCAATTGTGTAGATCAATGTTCATGATGTCAATCACAGGATTGTCTGGTCCAGATTCAATTATTTACTGACCGCTGTCATATAGCTGGAATATTGCTGAGTGCAGCATTAAACAACGACACAAGTGACCACCTTTCTGTCTCCGTCTAAACTCAGGTGAGCAGTATCAGCAGAAGAATGAGATGCCATCAGAATGTTTCATTAAGCATCACAATCAAAGATGGAACCATCATCTTGGCACTTGCATATTTTTTTTAAGAGTAAGCCATCTACATTGTTTACTGAATAAAAAGAACTGCAAATGCATGTAATGGACTGATAATTCATCTTCACTCACATCCATCTTAAAAGGTTTACATGACGTGCATATGTATAAACGTATAGGCCTTAGATGGAGTTATGCTTTGTGTTTGAAAACAGTATCATAAAGAGTGATAAAATAAATACAGAGTCCTTTGCTTGACAAAGCTTTAATATTTGTTAAACATGCTTGACAGATTATTTTCATACAGCCTTTTCATTATGGTCTACAAGTGATGAAACGCAAGCAGAGAGACGAGCAAAAAGAAGTTCAGAGAAATGTTTGAACACATGTACAACTTGTTAATGTCTTCGGTATTCATAAGCATGATGATAGACATGAGCACAGCTCACGTAAACACAGTGTACACTATGTGTACTCCTCCCTCCAGTCAGCTTTGTTATTGTTTCACGTGCACATTGCATGCAGCCCTCAAAGATAAACACCCAAACAGCTATAAAGATTATCGGAGTAGCATAAAGCTTGCCTAATTGTCTTTTATCTTGAGCTGTTTCACCATCAGAAGATCCCACGGCACTGCCCCAGGCTCATTAAAATCTTGGCGATTCCCAGCTCCGCAGCAAACCTCGTGCAGCGTCAGAATGATGATGGAAACATCACAGTCGCACTTTCATACTCCCTGCAACTAAACTTTACACGAACATTATTTGTAAAAGGGTTATCTTTTAAAAAGGCTCGGGGTATTTATTGTTCTTCTATTTGCATTTTATTATGACCATTATGAATAAGCCTTGTGGATTTTTTGTCAGCTCCGAGTTTAACGTTCTTTAGACCGTGTGTTTATTTTCATAAGTGAATAATTTCCCTGACAAATATTTTCATTTCCTTTTGTCAAAAGATATGTTCGTTGATAAAATGCCTTCTTTTGAAGTTGGAAAAAAGACTCTGGTAGAACCCTCAATTTCCTTTTGAAAAACAGGAAATATTTAAAGATGGGTGTTACGGCTAGTTGTCCTTTATGGTGGAATAAATATTTGACTTGTCGTCACCATCATCTTATAAGCTTATATCTTCTGGAAAATAGTTTATTGTTCTGAAAGAAATCAGTCCTTAATAAACCATTGTAAGATTTCTGAAAGGACCACTACATAATGTTACAATTGTTGCTTAGGGTATTGCTCCAATTTGTTTCCAAATACAGTCAAGCCTCTGTACAATTACAACCTAAGTTACTGTTGGCAATGTGTCCAAAACAGAATTTTGCAGTATCTTCTTCTTAGCAACTTTGATGACTCTTTACACAATGCTCACTTCAGTGACAACCCACTATAGTGAGAGTGAGTGAATGAATAAGGTTTTATGCCACTGGTAATCCAGTAATAACAAAGCAATACCTGAGTGAGAAAACACCAGGGTACACAAACCTGGGTCTTTAGCAGGATGAGCAAACACTTTCACCACGAGGCCAACCCACCTCCCCAAACACAATGGTGTGAACATTTAGTAAGACTAATATGTGACTTGCTGCATAGTGATCAGATTATATTAGAAATAACATGTCCCTAGAAAATTGGATGTTTTTATCTTATCAAATCAGTAGAGAGGTGTTTGGGTGTATGTTGAGATATTTTCCTTGAGGCCATCTGTTGTTGGTATCCATGATGCAGTGTTTTTTGATGATGTTGAATGGAATGCCTTAAGTGTTTCTGTAACTACATGAATCTGAGAATATGAAGGCTTTTTACCTACATGCAACAGCCATTTCCGGCTGCATATGAGAGAGTGGTCGTGTGTTGAAGCGGCATGGGGCGGGGTATCCTGACAACACTCTGGGGGCCCATCACTATCAGTAAGTCAATCTTCACTTCATGATGCTTCAAACCCCTGACATATCAGACAATTGCAGCTCTGTAAACCCCTGACATATCAGACAAATTGCAGCCAGCGAAACCCCTGGCATATCCAACTTCCACTCATGCTAGATCAGTGTTTACAACCATTCAGAAGGGGCTGCTCAAAATGGCAGTGAAAATGATTGGAATTTTGATCAGACAAGTGTTGGTGTACATATGTGATCCTGGGAATAATGAAGATTGTAACACTTGTGTGGATGTGTGGAGCATTTCCGTTATGTGCCGACTGTGGTGCTGTTCTTGGAGCAACCTGGCTGTCCTCCTTGGGCCAAACTCTGTGTGTTTAAATACACATGCTCTTCAGTGGAGGGGCAGCGCCAGGAGCTATCACCCACGCCCTTGTAACATTCACACATGTGCAGAGTTGTAATGGCCACAATACAGGCACACCCCTTTGATGTTCAAACATGTTGACTGTTGAAGTTACCCAAATATACACACCTACTGTTTTAAATTTCCATCATGACCTGCATACAACCACGCATTGTGACACACGATCATGTGACCTGCATACAACCATGCATCTTGACACTCCGTCATGTGACCTGCATGCAACCATGCATCTTGACACTCGATCATATGACCTGCATACAATCACGCATCTTGACACTCCGTCATGTGACCTGCATGCAACCATGCATCTTGACACTCGATCATATGACCTGCATACAATCACGCATCTTGACACTCCGTCATGTGACCTGCATACAACCATGCATCTTGACACTCGATCATATGACCTGCATACAACCACACATCTTGACACTCGATCATGCGACCTGTATTGAACCATGCATCTTGAAGCTCCGTCCGTCATGTGACCTGCATATAACCGCCCATCTTGACACTCCGTCATGTAACCTGCATACAACCACGCATCTTGACACTCCGTCATGTGACCTGCAAGCAACCATGCATCTTGACACTCGATCATATGACCTGCATACAATCACGCATCTTGACACTCCGTCATGTGACCTGCATGCAACCATGCATCTTGACACTCGATCATATGACCTGCATACAATCACGCATCTTGACACTCCGTCATGTGACCTGCATACAACCATGCATCTTGACACTCGATCATATGACCTGCATACAACCACACATCTTGACACTCGATCATGCGACCTGTATTGAACCATGCATCTTGAAGCTCCGTCCGTCATGTGACCTGCATATAACCGCCCATCTTGACACTCCGTCATGTAACCTGCATACAACCACGCATCTTGACACTCGATCATGTGACCTGCATACAACCATGCATCTTGACACTCAGTCATGTGACCTGCATACAACCAAGCATCTTGACACTCTGTCATGTGACCTGCATACAACCATGCATCTTGACACTCGATCAAGCAACTTGTATTGAACCATGCATCTTGACACTCGATCATGCGACCTGTATTGAACCATGCATCTTGACACTCCATCATGCGACCTGTATTGACCTATGCATCTTGACACTCCGTCATGTGACCTGTATTGACCCATGCATCTTGACACTCGATCATGTGACCTGTATTGAACCATGCATCTTGACACTCAACCATGTAACCTGCATACAACCACGCATCTTGACACTCGATCATGTAACCTGCATACAACCACGCATCTTGACACTCGATCATGTGACCTGCATACAACCATGCATCTTGACACTCAGTCATGTGACCTGCATACAACCACGCATCTTGACACTCGATCATGTGACCTGCATACAACCGCCCATCTTGACACTCCGTCATATGACCTGCATGCAACCATGCATCTTGACACTCCATCATGTGACCTGCATACAACCATGCATCTTGACACTCGATCAAGCAACTTGTATTGAACCATGCATCTTGACACTCGATCATGCGACCTGTATTGAACCATGCATCTTGACACTCCATCATGCGACCTGTATTGACCTATGCATCTTGACACTCCGTCATGTGACCTGTGTTGACCCATGCATCTTGACACTCGATCATGTGACCTGTTTTGAACCATGCATCTTGACACTCAACCATGTAACCTGCATACAACCACGCATCTTGACACTCGATCATGTAACCTGCATACAACCACGCATCTTGACACTCGATCATGTGACCTGAATACAACCATGCATCTTGACACTCAGTCATATGACCTGCATACAACCACGCATCTTGACACTCGATCATGTGACCTGCATACAACCGCCCATCTTGACACTCCGTCATATGACCTGCATACAACCATGCATCTTGACACTCTGTCATATGACCTGCATACAACCATGCATCTTGACACTCGATCATGTGACCTGAATACAAAAAATGCATCTTGACACTCTGTCATGTGACCTGCATACAAAAAATGCATCTTGACACTCGATCATGTGACCTGCATACAACCGCCCATCTTGACACTCCATCATATGACCTTCATACAACCAAGCATCTTGACACTCGATCATGTGACCTGAATACAAAAATGCATCTTGACACTCAGTCATGTGACCTGCATACAACCATGCATCTTGACACTCAGTCATGTGACCTTAATACAACAAAAATGCATCTTGACATCTTGTTTATGAGAAACTATTCAAGAGACCCACTGCCACTCTACTTGTGGGTCAAGAATTCTGAATGAAGATGGCTGGATAGATTCCCGTGTACAACAGGGTAACCATTGTTCATGTATGGTGCTGGAGTGCCCGCTCCAGACATTCAGATGGTTTACAGCCACATTCATCAAACAGGCCTTCACACAGAAATATGTCTCTCACTTCAGTTGTGACATTTGCATCCTAAATATTGTCTAAACAAGGTGTCAGCTTATACCTAAAATATTATCCCAGAGCATTTTTGGTGTATTATTTCAGCCTTGGGGTGTTTTGAAAATGCATATTTGTGTGAGTTTTAAATATTGAGATTACATGATGGACAGATGACTACTCTTTTGATGAGGAGGTGCTCACAATATGGCCTTGTGTCTGTCGGTAGTTGAAATGTTAAGAAAATCTCATTTATGTGCAGCCAATGAGCAATACAAACGATGACCTTATGTTAGGTAGTGGTTTGTGTTAGACTCGCTCTCATCCAACTTCCAAAGGGAATTGCTCAAAAAATGTCAAAGCAATCCCAGGAGAAACTCTGGCTGATCCTAATCAGGCGACACATGGCATGCACATGGGATGAGTTAATCCACCAGTATTTGTAACCATATCACTAATACTACAAACAACTGGAACAGTTAGAGACAACTTTTGGTATAAATATTTCTGCCGAGAGCCAGACTCGGTTTCCTTCTCAATGATCTTTTCTTTGCTTGAAAAAACAAACAGTTCCTGCAAAGTGTACAGTGTTATCAGAGAGTGCCTCGCCATGCCCCGTCCTTCTGTCCCCTCTTCAGGGGGTATAAACCCACTGTTCCCAATGTCAGCATTTCACAGTTTCCATGGAGACAGCTTGGCATTTCAGTTAAACATAAGGAATTTCATGCTTGGTTGAAGTGGAAAATAACTCTTCAGAAGGCATGTTTTATTGCCTTAGTTTTTGTCCTACCTTATTACCTTGGAAAAACAACAACATTGATACCATATAAACTCTTATTACCCAGATCTTTGACAAACTTCAATCTTGGATTTTTGATTATCATCCAAATAGTTTATGATTTTGTGTTTTAGAGCTGTATCCATCACATATGCAATCTACAAAATTTCCGACTTAATTAGACCAAAATACGTTCAAGAATGTGTGAATACTCAAGCAGCTATCCCATGAAAATGTGTAACTTCATAAACACATTCTTTCTGCTAGATTTCTGACGTTGATGGATGTACCTCCAACAATAAGCCTGATTTCTTGCAGGTTCTGTGTAGTTGTCAACGTTAGTTCCATCAGTTCCTTGCATTTGAAAAACTGCAAATTAAACCCTCATTTAGCTACAGTGCTGCAGATGACATGACATGAGAGACTATAAATCACTGGCTTCTTACTCTGTGTTCAATTCTCTCCATAAGAAATACTAGTTAACATTACTACTGTCATGAGCATATATGAAGTATCTCTCTCCATTGATACTTTTTATTTTCTGAATATTTCATTTTTCTTTCCCAAATTATGTAAAATTAAGTATACTAAATCATATATTTGTATTATTTAAGAGTTGTACTTTTCCAAAACTTTCTCTTTGTCCTGGTATTAGATATTTATTAAGTGTCTCTTGCAAGTTCCCACGAAGTCATAAGAAATATTTGAAATGTGTGGGAGGTTGATCAAAAGGAATCAAATCCCACCATATGGCGGAACACTGGGTATATACTGTATATACTGTATAATTGATATACACAAGCATCATTTATGACTTATTACATTTTAGGAGGGGAAAGTATTTTGTTTCTAAATGAAAGATGAATGTGGTTTTTTTCATAATAAAGAACAATAGTCACATTTCCAATATGTTTAATGGTATAAAAACTGCTGTCTTCACTGAGACTTTCTGAAGCAGTGGATTCAGGTACCAGATGATTGGAGAATGATGGGACTCTCTGCATGTTTCCAGCTTCTTGAAAGTCGGTGGATCTCATCATCTAACGAGATTCTGACGTTCCGCAAGGCTCTGATGAACCCAGTAACGTCCCTCCAGTTCAGGAGATACGTGTCAATAAAGGGAGACAACCTGGAAAATGATGTTCTTTTCTGGCTCGAAGTTCAGAAATACAAAGTGAGTTTACCTGAGAATGAACACTCCATACATACAATGCAGCCAATGACTTCAAATCTTGTACACAAATTATAAGTATTACATGGCACTGACCTGATAATCATTACTTATTCATTTTTATACATAATAGTTGTATATTTTACATAGGAACACAGTGGATATTTAATAAACGGTAATATATATTGTTTTCAAATAGATTTGACGAATATTGTCATCATTTGTCAGAGGAGTTTGTGATAGTATTTGACCTGTGTTGCAGGAGCTTCACCATGCAAACACAGATGACAGCCTGATTCTGCAGAAGATCAACGCCATCATCAACTGCTTCATCGACTCGCAGATCCCCCCAAGTCTGCAGGTGGACATCCCAACAGAACTCGCCGACAAGATCCTGGACAGGAAGTATGAGAAGGGGCCGTACCTATTCCGGGAAGCCCAGGTAACTTATCAATAATTCCTCTCCAGGTGCCTGCAAGCATGGGATGCATTTCTTAAAATCAATAACAGGTCACCAACTGTCTTCCTCTAATGCCATGTCTCGTAGAACGTAGTCCTATGTCGTGGTGCTCCTGTACATGTGGAGAACAGGACCCAGCAGGGTTGGAACTGTCAGATACTCAGGTGTCTCTTTGTGTAAATTGTTAGCAAGAACAATTTGTTATGCATTTAATTTACATATTTTACAGTTTCTGAGGAAGGTGTCAAAATGAAAGTTTAAAAAGATATTGAATAACTATACAGACAGGTAGATGATTAAAAACATATTTTAATCAAAAGCCGCACTTGTAAATTATTTGATTTTCAGAATTTAGGCTAAGCTCCTCCATGAACACAAAAGTAAATCATCTGTTCCAGGTTCTAGACCTAACTTAAAAACAAATATAGATATTAACAGATGTCTATCTGCTACATGGAGATTCCAGGTTGGAACTGGTCCCCAGAAACCTATGCTTGTCACCCCCAGTGTTACAGGGTACTAAAGAATCAAAGTTCAATAAATACATGGAGAGTATGTGGACAGAGCTACTAGTTTGCCCTCTGGATACAATACGCAAAATATATATTTAAGAACACACGTTTGGATTTGCCATTAGACATGAATTATGATAATGAAGATGGCAAGACTCTTGTGTATATTAAAATCATTCAAAGCTGTACTTCAAGCTATTTAATAATGTACGGACTAATGCTCGTATTGTTAAGTGAAGTGAAGCAAGAAAAAGTATTCAATTATTTGCTTGTTTGACATTTGGAGTTTTTTCAGGCAGACAGATTATAGGTTGGTGTTACCCCGAGTATGTGATGTTGGACACACAGAGTGGGCACCACACTCACACAGGCTTCAGTTAATGGGGTTTAATGGAAGACAGATTATAGATTGGTGTTACCCCGAGTATGTGATGTTGGACACACAGTGTGGGCACCACACTCACACAGGCTTCAGTTAATGGGGTTTAATGGAAGACAGATTATAGATTGGTGTTACCCCGAGTATGTGATGTTGGACACACAGAGTGGGCACCACACTCACACAGGCTTCAGTTAATGGGGTTTAATGGAAGACAGATTATAGATTGGTGTTACCCCGAGTATGTGATGTTGGACACACAGAGTGGGCACCACACTCACACAGGCTTCAGTTAATGGGGTTTAATGGAAGACAGATTATAGATTGGTGTTACCCCGAGTATGTGATGTTGGACACACAGAGTGGGCACCACACTCACACAGGCTTCAGTTAATGGGGTTTAATGGAAGACAGATTATAGGTTGGTGTTACCCCGAGTATGTGATGTTGGACACACATATTTCTAGTGACCAACAGCGTCATGCACATGTCACATATCCCAGCACAACAGTATGTAATCTACGGAAAAATCCACAGAACATGGCTCAATCAATCCTGGTCTATAAAAGTAATTGAATCCATGTACTGACTATATAAGTTTCCATTGCAGTGTTCGCTCTTTAAACGGTTCAGTTAATGCCATATTAGCTGCCACGCGATACCTTCATAATGTATATTGCCAGAGAGAAGACGTTTCCAAGAAAGGTATTATTTCTGCCTTTTGAAACATCAAACAACAACTTCTATAAAAAGTCAAAATGGATGCCATTTGAGACAGTTGCTTGAATGAAAACATTTGGCAGTGACTTCCATCTTGAGGTCACTGTGTTTGTTTATTTGACATGTTGGAAATTGAAAATTAAAGCTAAATTTTGTTATTGTTGTGAACACCTGGTCATGAATTTCTTGTTGAATCAACTGAGTGGAACTAACTCGAAGAGCATGTGCGCACTGAGTCACTGAGAAACAAAATAACAAGCTGTTTGGGTTGTCTCTTGCGGGACTCTTTTCACAGTAATATTATCAATATCTAGTTTATGTGGAGATATTTGAGATTTTCTAATTGAAATATAGGGTAACTAAACTGAAATAACAAAGTGCTGAATTTCAACATGGCATTGACAATTAGCTGGGTTGATGTAGCAAGTAAGTTAATGAAAACTGTTTTAAGATTTCTACTGCATACTTTAAAGAAATGCCAGTTTGGGTCTTAATGGTGCAGCAGTGTATCTACTGCAGAGTGTATGTTGTGAACATTTCTGTGCAATGCCTGCTTCATCACCATTAGGTTCAGTACAGCAGTGATGGTGAGAAGTGAAGACCCATTTAGGGCCCATTTAGGACTACAGAACTGTTAAACTTAGACCCCAACTTTACATGACTGCAGAAACAAGTAAAGAAACTGGCTACTAGAGCATCTGATGTGTATACAGTATGTGTTGCTGAAATGTACAACTCCTATGTCTGTATCAGCTGTCAACACTCTCATGTCAATTTCAGCTGACCGTGTTCAGAATTCTCTTCAGTCAGTGGAACGACTTCTGTGAATTTAGAGCCAACCTGACTGAAGAAAAAATCCTACCTACAATTGAGAGAAGACGACGGCATGCCAAATCCCGACAGAAGAGAAATCGTCGAGAAATTGAAGAAAAAGCTTCAAAGGTGATTACACACTCCTTGCACCAATATAAATTCAAAATAAAAATTTAGTAATTTCTATGGTGAGATATAAAATGATGATATAATCCCTGGGTTTAGCAGGGAGAGATATTGACTGATAAAACTATTTTAGATGAATCCAAAATTAGGAATTTTAAGATTAATTTTGTTTTACTATTCATCAATTTCATGCAATTATTTTTATGAATAAGATGTTGAAAAGGATTATTTCCAAAATAAATGAAAACATTGCTGATATTTTAGTGTGTTGATGCAGGATGAGACGACTAAATATTCATCATATTCATCAGTCCTCCAGCATTGAATGTCAGGCATGCTTGTCTGGCTGGATGAGAAACTACATTTACAAAGAAAATACTAACAGTGTTTTATGACTGACCTGCATCAGAACATGGGTCAATGGCAATAACAAACGTATAAACAGTTCTTTGAGCACAACTGTGACCATTAAACATAAAAGATCAATATTATTTATGACTCATCTGTAATTAGCCCCAAGATAGTGAGAGAAAACATTGTGTGCGTGATACAAGATAGGACTCATTATGTAAGTCTCATTTCCATATAAAGTGTCATGTGATCATGTCCTATGTTGCTGTCCTGTGTCATGCTGTGTCTTCCTGTGTCCTCATTGTTCTGTGTCCCTCTGTGTCCATATTGTCCTGTGTCCTTCTGTGTCCTAATTGTCCTGTGTCCTTCTGTGTCCTAATTGTCCTGTGTCCTTCTGTGTCCTAATTGTCCTGTGTCCTTCTGTGTCCTAATTGTCCTGTGTCCTTCTGTGTCCATATTGTCCTGTGTCCTTCTGTGCCCATATTGTCCTGTGTCCTTCTGTGTCCATATTGTCCTGTGTCCTTCTGTGCCCATATTGTCCTGTGTCCTTCTGTGTCCTAATTGTCCTGTGTCCTTCTGTGCCCATATTGTCCTGTGTCCTTCTGTGTCCATATTGTCCTGTGTCCTTCTGTGTCCATATTGTCCTGTGTCCTTCTGTGTCCATATTGTCCTGTGTCCTTCTGTGTCCTAATTGTCCTGTGTCCTTCTGTGTCCTAATTGTCCTGTGTCCTTCTGTGTCCTAATTGTCCTGTGTCCTTCTGTGTCCTAATTGTCCTGTGTCCTTCGGTGCCCATGTTGTCCTGTGTCCTTCTATGTCCTAATTGTCCTGTGTCCTTCTGTGTCCTAATTGTCCTGTGTCCTTCTGTGTCCATATTGTCCTGTGTCCTTCTGTGTCCATATTGTCCTGTGTCCTTCTGTGTCCATATTGTCCTGTGTCCTTCTGTGTCCATATTGTCCTGTGTCCTTCTGTGTCCATATTGTCCTGTGTCCTTCTGTGTCCATATTGTCCTGTGTCCTTCTGTGTCCTAATTGTCCTGTGTCCTTCTGTGTCCATATTGTCCTGTGTCCTTCTGTGTCCATATTGTCCTGTGTCCTTCTGTGTCCTCATTGCCCTATGTCCTTCTGTGTCCATATTGTCCTGTGTCCTTCTGTGTTATCATTGTCCTGTGTCCATATTGTCCTGTGTCCTTCTGTGTTATCATTGTCCTGTGTCCATATTGTCCTGTGTCCTTCTGTGTCCTCATTGTCCTGTGTGCTACTATGCCATCATTGTCCTCATAGTCCTGTGTCCTTCTGTGTCCTCATTGTCCTGTGTCCTTCATGTCCTGTGTTGGCCTGCTGGGTTTTTAGATGAAGGGTATACCAGGTACAAGGCACCTGCAGTGTAGGCTGGAGGATCTAACAACGGAGAGGAATTTACCTTATACAAGCATCTTTGAAATGTTAATAATATTGAAATCAATTTACATTTTAATTATCCTGTAAGTTTCTTAAATCCAACTCATTGTGAATGTTCACACATAGATTGACATTGGTGGCATATTTAACAGGGTTCAAAATCATTTGAAATTCCAAATGTTATAGAATGATGTTCCAGCTTTGTTAAGAGTAGTGGGAGATTTTTGTGATGTGATGTGATATGAATTCCCCAAAACACTGACGCTCCTAACTGGTGTTTTAAATCTTAGAAGTATAGTTCCTAGCAAAGTTCCTCAAAGTGGTATGTTAGAGACTGCCTCCATGGTCTAGTGGTAGAGCATCTGCCCGGAGAGTTGAAGACTGGGGTTCGATCATACCAAAATACTGCATCATACCAGAAGACATTATAAGATGTTACTCTTCCTGGCACTGGGCATTAATTAAAGGGGCTAAAACAAGGTCTGGTTGGCACAGAGTCTGTATACTGTGTCTGAGTGGGGTATTCATGTTAAACTGTGGCATGGAAGCTTGGTGGGCTAACATCATAAAATTGGAATTAGTCCGGACTAGTTCAAGCAGCCCCCCACACACACATCTTGAATACGAAGTGAAACTCCATTTCACCTCACAGTTATACTGGCCCACATATACACCGTCAACAAAATGGTGATTGTGTGAATTATACAATTTGAGTAATATTACAGCCATATAGAAATACAGAACATAATGAGACATTATGGAATTACATATCAGAAGAAATGAGAAGAATGTGTTGAGAGATGTTGACTATATTCCAAGTCGCACGCTGACATTACAGAGCACAATCTGTCTGCTCCAGTTCCCAGTCCCACCAGACTGGCACATCATGCTGCCGCTATTGGCTTCAGGCAGTTGTTTTCTCTTTTAAAGTTCAAGGAAAACTGTTTACTTGCAGATATTATTCTAGAAAACATCTCTAAAGGATGAGGATTAATGGCCAAGTTGTATAAGAATGTTAAGTAATGATGAAACTCGGGTTCTGCTAGATAGCTCAGAAGAAAAATATTTTGAAAACTTTGTGAAATAGAGATAGGGTACATCAACAATGTGCGCTGGCAGTAAATGTATGCCTCTTTTGTCTGTGTGCGCATCAAAATAGGACTGTGTTTTCTGACTGATGTCATATGATTCTGTATAATAACCTAGTCAGCATTTCTTTATGGAAGTCTTTGTTTTATAATATATGTTACTTAAAGCATAAACCTGTGTTTGAAAGAAAATTAAGTTCTTTTGGAATATATCTTTCGTAACTAAAGTTTGACAAAGACGTGTAAGGTTTGTCCTTTTCAAATCAAATTAAAACACGTCTGATTAAGTCAACATTTTTTTTATGTCTATGAAAATAACACAAAATAGCTGTGTATTTCAAATTTGTTCAGCTAAAGTTGTTTTAGTCAGTAGGTTTAGCATGAAAAAAATAAAGTGCAGGATGTTGAATATTTTGACAGTAGCACATACTGGTATACATACATATTTACATCTGAGAAGGCATTGTTCTCATCTTAACAGAATTGCATTGGGAAGGCTACATATACTGTATTTGATTAACTTCTCAAAAAGTGAACACTTACAGGACTTTGTGTGAACTTCCTATCTCTTTGTTTTCCTCATCCGTCCAAGATGGAAAAATTATAATATTTTTATGTTATTATTTTTATTTCAATTTCTGATTGATGCTTTTGGCTCCGGGTGGTCGAATTCATAACCAATAAATATAAAGTGTCCCGTATGTATGGCAGGTTTTGTATAGATCATATCATTATCATATTTCTATACATTTGCATACCAAGAAGCATACCTTCAGTAGGGAACTATAGACATAGGGGTCATGAGAGTGCATGATATTAAGACACATATGTTACCTGTGAAGATCCGGGGTAGAATAGGTCTTTAGCAACTCATGATTGCTGTAAAAGGCAACTATGCTTGCAGTAACAGGTGACTAACAGGATTGGGTGGTCAGGCTCACTGACTTGGTTGTTGCATGTCATCGTATCCCAATTACGTAGATCGATGCTCATGATGTTACTCACTGAATTGTTGGTCCAGATTTGATTATTTACAGACGGCCATCATATAGTTGGAATATTGCTTAGTATGGTGTTAAACAACAAACCAACGTACAAACACATACAGGTTGTCTGGTTGAAAGCCAGTTTTTACACATTCACTGGTGATGACCCTTTGTAAATGTAATAAACTATGACATGCAACAAGAGCAAACTAAAGGTAATTATACAGACAGATATATTTTTGATAAAGATTCAACAAAATGTTCTGTATTATGTACATTTTTACAGAATGTATCAGTTTTGAATGTTTAATATAATGTAGGAAAACAACAACACTGGTCCTTTAAAAAATGGCGACTTGCAACAAGAGCAAAATTAAAGAAAATTAAAGAGACAATCATATTTCCTGATAAAGATTCAACCAAATGTTTTGTAGTATGTATAGTTAAACAGAGTGTGTCAAATTTGAATGTTTAATATAATGAAGGAAAATAACACTGGTCCTTTAACACAGTGCATTTCCCAATGACAGATGACTGTGCCGGCAGTCTCACACACATGCTTGAGACAAGGGGGGCCCCACTTGACAGTGATCAAGTGGATATAGCATGCTACCTGTGACCTGTACGCCATGCATGAGACTACAACACTGTATGTACATATACATACACATGGCCTCCGCCACCCAGTCCATGACGGGAATCCCAGGCCCTGTGGGCGTGCATATTTTCACATTATGTAGAACCTGTGGATACATTGAGGGTTAAAAAAATGACACAGGACGAATTCCGAGAGAAATCATAAAGGTTATGTGTAACTTATTATGATTGGTAATTCAAGAAACATATGGAATCTTTGACACCTAAATTTCTAGCTTGTTGTCATCCAGTTGTATTGATGCTATGTGTGGTAGTGAGTCCACAGCATCAGGACCAATAGACACATAGTTATCTTAGTGCTAAGACTATTGTACATCTGTGTTAAAGTACCGGAATTACATCAGCCCTAGAACTGAGATTGCTTTGGACAATTAGAGCCTTGTCACACCGTATTTAAATAAAAGCGACAAAACACTTTTCATCTTCATAAGAAATCTCTAAAAGAGTCCATTGTATGATTCCGACTATGTCTTAAGTTAAAAATCCAAATTTTTATGATGCAATACAAACTGATAAGTATTTG